ACATTCTATGAAACTGAAATTTGTTGTAAGCATTTTTAAATAGTATAATAAACCACAACAATATTATTTTAAAATATTTCAGCTTATCACTATAGAGCTGACGATGGCGATCGCTCGAACTCTGAAGTGGTTACTTTACATCACACACACTCGTGTATCATTTTTGAATATTTGTTAAGTGTAAGAAAATGTTAAAATTTTGAATCGTCAAACATAACAAATTGCGTGTGGGACATAGGCAAAACTATTGAATGTGATAGGAACTGGTTTCTTTCTGAAACTTTTACAATTAACAGCTAAAGGGTACACTCTACGGTAGACAATTATAGACATATCTAATACTTATATCACCTTGATTGTTTTATCTGCAACGAAAAACAAAATAGAACAGAGTTAAACACGCACTTGCCGTGAATGTCTTTCATTCGTACTATACGACACTCCAATCGCATGTACGATTCCAGCTAGCTTCATGCTGTTCTTCGTTTTAATACAGTTTGATTGTAAGTTATTATTTTTGTTCACTTCCTGCCTAATAGTGCTGCTACCAATTTTTTGCGACGTCACACGTTCTCCCTTGTGACTATATACGTGGGGTAGAATGTGCAGTTTCTAAATCTATAAGATCAATATTAAATATTGAAAAGACGGTAGTAATTTCTATCAAAAATTTGTGATTCAAGTCGTCTAGGATATGCCAGCAAAGAAATTAAGCTTTCTGACGATGAAAAAATTAATGTTTCTAACGGTGTAAAAAATGGGGGTGATCGAAGAGATGCCACTATTAGTATTATACACTATTTACCTATTTGAATTGATATTAAAATTATTCCAAATCATCTTTTTTTTTTAACAGGATTGCACATTAAGAGCCGGATTCTAACAAAATTGTCTATGAATAGACTACATATATATACCAAATAATCAGTCGTATATTTGAATAAAGAGCTTAGGTGGAAAATTTCTCCCAGTGAGAAGATGTTGCAAAGTTAACGAACGGAAAATAAACCACCAAAAACGGTAAGAAGAAGTCAAATAAACTGAGTGTTTTAATACTTAATAATAATACTGGGTGTTTGAAATTTATCCAACACAAAGTGTCCCTGCATTGAACTATCACATGATTCTCTCAGATATGAGTCATGAATCTCTCCCAAAGGGAATCTTCGGAGACCCTATATAATATATATTTAAATGACCAGCATGACGAGCTGAGTCGATTTAACCATGGCCATCTGTCAGTCCAGCTATCCGTCCGTCTGTATATATACAAACTAGTTCCTCAGATGAGATATCGATATGAAATTTCGCGCTAGCAGTTTTCTCATCAAAAAGCTGCTCATTTGTCGGAACGGCCGATAGCATATAGCTGCAATACAAACTGGCCGATCAAAATCAAGTTCTTATAAGGTATCTTTTGTATGTGTGAAGGGTATTATAGCTTCGGTGCAACCGAAGTTAACGTTATTTTTTGCTTCTTATGAATCTTGTGTACAGTGTATATGTTATATTACAATCCAATATTGCCCAAATTAGCCTAACATATTGCGTTAGGTGAAAATTTTATGACAGGAACGCATATTTATTCACAAACAAATTTTCGATAAGATAAAACCAAATTAGTTCTTCGCCTACGCGTCGATAAATGCGCCAAAGCCGCCAGCGCACTTACCGCACAAGCCTATATACATATATGTGTATGTATGTATGTGTGTATATACAACTCTGTATGCCTTGATTGCTAAGTCACAACCGATAGATAAGCGAAAAGTTAAAATGTGTAAAAGTGCGACAAAATCGCTTTTGATTCATATTTAAATGTAGCCAAAAAATATATATACCTTCATATGTACTATATACATACTATGTGTTTAGTTTGTATATATTTATCTACATAGGTTTGTGTGTATTTGTGCGAATGCAAGCTTACGCCCGGATATTGTTGGAGATCCATTATAAAAATTATGGTAGACAATAAATTCGCATGCTAGCCAACCATTTACCAGGCGCGTAATTACCCAACACCACTGCCAGAGGCACACCACTACCAAACACTGTGCGCAAAAACACTGACAACCACAAACAAATGTCATTTTGTGACACTGCCGTGGAACGCTGCGTTGAGTTAGATATACAATGTTTGTTGTTTGCTTGCTTAATGCATGTAATTTAAGCGAAATGACAGCACCTACACGAGGGAGAAAAAAATAAAAGAAAAAAATACGAAGAGCAAATTAATAATGCCAACTATGCATATTTGTTGCAGTCTTAAGTAAGCTGTATATATTGCTTTATTACACGTCCAACTTAGCTGCATTCAAAGGTGGAAATACGTACATACATATATACTTACATATTTACTTTATAGTATATAATAGTTCACAATTTTAACGTATGTAGGAAGGTTTTTTATTGTGGGTGTACCATATATCAGTTAGTTGTTGCAAGTGTTTTTTATTACAGTTACCTATATTTTTACAACTTTATTTTTTATAAAACCGGAAATAAGCCTTATTTGTATTTTATTTATTAAGCCACACTAAACACTTTGTAAACTACTTATGTAAGCGGCAACTTTACTTAAGAATAATCGCACATCACTAACCGTAATATCAGCTGACTTTGTTAGAAATGAAAAGTAAATAAAGCGCAAATTGTGAGAAGCGTAAGTTTCAGTTTCAGTTTAAATGTGAAAAGTAATAAAAAAATGCCTACTAAGCAATAAAAAGTACTTATAGTAAAAGTGAAGAAGAGCACATTCCCATGGGTCATAAATATTTGTGTTAGTAGGTGCAGTGCAATCTATTAAGGGTAGTGTTTCAGGTGAAATACTCGGAAAAGTTGTAAGCTGACTACATTTAGCCAGTGAGCAGTAAGCAGGCAGTATAGTGGCATATGGTATCCACAATGTAGTCCAAGCTTTACAATAATCGTAAAATTTTTATAAATCTGAATGTTTTTGCTCAGCCCTGATAAATTTTTCTAAAAAGGTGAAAAATCTCGGCAAGTTATTACTTATGAGGTAAACGCTAGTAATCACATTAGAAGCAGTGGGAACGTTCGGTTTCAGTAAATCGAAATCAGTCAAATATTGAAAAGTAGTGTTTTTTTACAAGCCACCACTAGGAACGTCAAGCAGCTATCTTGGAATTCTTACTTATAGTATTAGACAATCACAACTGTTTCGTACACGTTTTATTAGTAAATATTTCAGAAATTGACAAATTCTAAGCTAAATCTGGACTTTTTGAGCCATTTGATACCAAATAGTACTAAGATGTAGCATTTGGCGATCGATTTCTTTACTCTAAGCTTTTCTACCGAAGCCAAGGTCGTTTTTTGAACTCACAAAGCACACAAATATTCAAGGAATTTTCAAAGGAATAAGGTGTGTAAACGAAGTAACCAACAATGCCAAATCCCTACCCATCAGTTTGTTATACTAAATTAATTCTAACATGTGATATTAGGCTTACATAATAAACATACATACATGTATCTGCACAATATTTTAATAGTATTTTGTACTATATTTTCCAAATAAAGATTAACTCACAAAAACACGAAAACTGAATCGTTTATTAAGTCCTGACCATGCGCCATCGAAACGCCCACACCGCGAAAAACTAACATTAGCCAAATTGGAGAAAAATTTAGTTTTTCCTATGAAAACAGGTTGGGAAAAGCAATTTGCTAACGGAAACATTATTCAATGGACATATGTTTGTATGTATTTACAATGCACAACATATTTGTGACTTTTGTAATCCGATTATTATAAGTAAGAGAACGAGAGGGAAACATCAAAAAATTTACATTAAATAGTACATATGTAAATATTATATTATATTAGCTACGTATGCACGGATACTTTTGATTCTTAATCTACTATCTTCCTCCAATACTTTGCATTTACGAATTACGAGAAGAACTGATTATGTTGATCATTATCCCCATTTTTATCTCTCATACTGTAGAGATTTTCACAGAAAATTCTATTATATATGACCTTGAGCTATACCTTTGTTTCAACTGATTTTGGACTAAAGCAGGTTTGACCATTGATAAGCGAGGATAACCTAACATAATCATTTCTCTAACCATTTTGTCTCTCGAAAACTGAATGGATCCGTTGACCAAGTAAAGAAACTAATAGTCAACCGGAGACTTAACAAAGCACGCAGATCAAAGATCAGTTCTGACGGAGTTTTTGTAGAGATGCTATTGTCGGCGACTTTTAACTAAACACTTATCAAGTAATGTCAGATACCGTTGAGATATTAGTAATGCATACGCTATTCAAGCCCTGTCTAATGCTGACTTAGCCGATAAGACGTCAGACCTGAAAAGATTCAGGATCACTATCAGCGCATAGCCTCATTATTGAGCCTACTCTATATTTTAATTCCGCCAGAATTTTGTAAAGAGAGCTCAATAAAACCCTTATAATGTATATAGAAAATCCTTATTGTAACCTCATAATAACAAGTTTGTCTGTATTTACAATAAAATTTAGGCTTAACATATAAGACTGTTCAAACTCTAAGAAGACAACGGCATTTCGTGGTGCTTTTAGTGTCATTTTGTTGCCTTTACAAAGTTTCAACACACAGCTAGTGTCTACTTGCACTTTATTGTGTTTAATATCCTTTAAACCTACACAACTCCTCATCTGTAACCTCTTAAGCATTGAATCCACAAATTTGAGGTTCTACAATTGTATCTAAATGTTAAAATTAACCTCAGACCTCCCGACTTGGTGGCAGTTGTTCGGCAAATGTTGGAAAATTGAGTCCATATCTCACTTAAAGTTATTAATAAAAACTGAAAACTGAAAAGAACTCACTTTGCTGTTGATTTCCTTATGAAGTCAAGTTTTTTAATACAATTTTTCCTAAGAGTTCCTAAGAAATCGCAACACTAAACTTGTATAAATTAAATAAATACCAATTTTTTCAACAATAAATGTTTTGAAAGTTTGCTTAGTGTTTCATATTTACCTATTAATTCGCGATAGAATTGTAATCGGCTCACGTCATTAATGCCTAGTAATCCACCACACGGTGTAGTGTTGAATATTAAACTTGTCAAAATCCAGTTTTGAGCGGAGTATTAACGTGATTTTCATGTTTTGGTTTTTGGTTTCGTGCAATTTGTTGTATTTTTTGATCGCATAATCCATTAACATTACAACAATGCCGAATACGCACGAATACCTTTGGCATGAGTTATGTTCGTATAATTATAAAAAGGCCGAAGGGTGTTCACAGCAGGCGGCTTTAGTAGATAAGAATCTATTGTGTTGTATTGTATTGTTTTCCCGTTTTATTGTAAAGGTCGTTTGTAAAAGTAAAATGAAAAGCAACAGCAACAAGCTCGACTTTGAATTGCACTTGAATTCGCGCGAAGATTGAAATAAATCTACATTTTCTATACAAAACACGAATGCGACTGCTTTTTCACTTTTCACACTGTTTTTGTTGTGCACTTTCTGTTGTTATTTTTCATTTCTTTGTAACAGTCACTTTATTATTATTGCGCTCTAGGTTCTGAGGTCCACTTCGAGCAGATATTATTTTCATCGTATATTCTCATTAACGAGTATTTAACTGAATTATTAAACGAGTATAAAAATTTGCAGTTAAATACATAACACTGTGTTTACCTACGCACATATGTATACTATAAATATGTAAAAATATACCATAAATATAACGATAATTTGTTGTTAAGGTACGCGATTGCAACTTGTGTCAACAAATAAACAACGCAAATATGTGTGCAGGAGGAGGAGGGGGAAGAAAAAAGAATAATAATAAAACCCGCAGAAATTACCTACACGCCAATTGACGATAAGCTGCAGTTAAAAGTAAGTAAGTAGGCAGCTGACAAGCACAGTGGGTTCGGGGCTTATCAGCAGACAAAAAAAAAAACCAAAAATAATTACAAACTATGTAAACTAGAAAATTTCACAATCGCAGCGCCAATGCAAAGCTGAAGACGTAGGTGGAAGTAGGAATGTCAAAAATACGAAATTAGATGTAATAAATTATGTATGTATGTATGTATGTATGCATGAGTCTACAGGATAAGTAGATGTAGAGCACTAAATGCATTCGTTATCAATAAAGAAATTTAATAAAAATAAAAGGATGAATTAAACGGTCGACTTATTATCTTTTAAGTAAGTATACATTTTATCGATGCATGTAAATTCTAATGGACGGTTACTTTTATTCAGTAGACATTATTCGTTATAAATTTTGCAAAAAGTAATAATAATACAATAATAATAATAATAATTTTAAAATATTTTTAGAAAATGAAAAATTTACATATTATGGAAATTCTTAAATAAGTAAAATTTAATCAAAGAAATATGCAAATAAAGAAAATGTAGAGAAGTATTAGAAAAGTTTTTTTATAAAAATGCTGTAAAAATATTAAAAAATCGTTTTCTAATATTTAAGAACAACAATGCTTTAATTATTAAAAACAAGAAAGAGCATTAACTTGGCTGTACCGAAGCTGTAATACACAGGTGTCTTTCTATACCATTTTATCAAATAAAAAAGCGTTTCATACAAAAACGTCATTTTTATTGACCGGTTGCAACAAATTAGAAGCTTCTTAGAGAGAAAAAGACGTGTGCAAAATTTTTTTATCGATATCTCAAAAACTGAGGGACTACAAGTAGTTGACGTATATACAGATAGACGGTCATGACTATATCAATCATGCTTATAATTTATATACACGTACACATAGGTACATATACCTTGTTCAAGGTATAAAAATAGGCAATACAAAATTTGCTATATAGAAAAATGCTACTCAAACAATTATACAGTGCTTTAAAGACTGTTTATTTTCTTAATAAAAAATATGAATCTTTCGAATAAAGAAGTATGTTTTACTAAGCTTTTATTAAGTATTTCTTAATACGAAAAGTATATTTTTTCAAATAACAAACTTTTGTTCGTTTGGAAAAAAGCGTCTTGATAAATATACTCAATATTCATATATGATTAACAATTTAGATGACACAAAACGTAAAAATATATTTTACTTTTATAACTAATATTTTTAGCCAGGTTTAACCTCTATCATCAATATATATAACTAAATAAATAATATTAACATCACATAAGCGCCAAAAAAATTTAAACCAAAACCAATGATTTACGAAAAAAATATAATTAAATCCGTTCTTGGATAATAAAGATATATTTTATGTTAAAAATTTAAAAAAAATATTTTTAAATCAATTCTTTTAAAAATTGAATAATTTATTATTTTATTATTCCTTTTTGTATAAAATATAATTTTCACCGATAAAAATATATGAAAGCTTTAAATACATTAAACAAAGACAAGTTAATTAATATAAAAAAGGTTTTGGTCAATGTTTGAACGTTTTCTTTGAAGAAATAATATTTAATACATTTTGCTAAAAATAATTTTATTGTAAGACGTGTTTAATACATTATTACATAAACAAATACCTTATATATGTAACTGTAGGTGTATATGTATGGAATATACTTTTATTATAAACACATAATGATGTAAAAATAAATTGCATATGGCTACTAATAAATATATTTTTTCCATATCTTTGTTATGTTATGTGGTCTGATATACTTAATTAAATAAAAACAATTTTTATCTTATATTTTATTTATATTTATATTTTTTTATAACATTATTTATATTATTAGTATTAATATCTTTTTTATTTATTTGTCAACTTGTTGTTATTTTTTTTTGTTTTACAAAATTCACCAACTACAGAACCAAGGACAATCTAAAATCTTCAAAAACCAACTGTCGATATCAGATTTAAATTTTCATTTTTACTCGATTTTTGTATTTATTATTTACAATAATTTTAGTTAATATTTTTATAAGTTATAGCATGTTCTCTATATTTTTTTCACATTTAATTAATCACAAACATTTTTTGAAATTTAAAGATCACCTTTTCAATCAAATTTTTTACACAATTTATCCGCTAACTCACACTGTCCTGCATTATCACCGTAGAAATACTACAGTGTATTCGTATATATTCTAAACGTCACACACAAACCGACCACTCTCTGCTATATTAGTCAAACTTTGCGCACTGCATAGACACTGTCAGCACTAAAACACTACCACGAATCTCCTATGTATAGTATGTAAAAAATTTTCAAATATTTTCCAAAATCATTTCGAAAATCACTGCACTTCAGTTATTCCTCGCTTTCTGCCGAAACACCACAGTGCAAGGGACAACTATAAATGTGAGTGTTTATTGGAATCACACGCGCCGCGTTTTGGTTACCAGAATGTCACATGCATTACAACAAAACCAAAGGTTATAAAAAAACACAGCGAATGTTTAAGTTTTTTTAAATTTATTTTTTCTTGCTATTTACACTTTTTGCTTGACTTTTCCACACTGCACTTATATTTCGTTTTTTTGTTGTTGTTGTTTTTGTGACACGAACTAATAACAAGTCAACCAACCATTCGCTGCGAACGTCACTTCACATTTGAAGTGGCGACATTATGGAACGTTTGCGATTTGCCGCTGCTGGAGTCAGACCCCGACGTGCGGTTGCTTAGCTGGCTGTGTTGTTGTTTTCTTTTTTTGCGTTTTGGTCAAAAGCAAGCGGATAACAACACAGAGAGGAGCGGCAGAGCGCGTATGAGCGTTTCTTGTTGTGAGTTATGTGTTGTGAGCTGAGGTATTGGGTAAGGTAAGCGCTGCAAGCAGTGACTCAATAAAGTGGGCTAACAATATTTATGAGTTCTTTAAATATGTATGTACGGTTGTATTGTACATATGTATTTGTAAGTTGTTGTCCATTAGTTGTAGCTTTCTTCTGCGCACTGACTTTTTATCAGATGTGCGGGTTGACACGAGGGACAGTTGCCTATAATAATTCGTCTAACTAAATCGATGAGTGTTCATACTGGCTATGATGTCACAACGAAAGTTGGTAACTCAAATTTGAGTTTGTTTATGGTGCTTGCTCTCATCAGTTACTGGGCAGTTAGTTTGCTCACTATGAGCTGTCGCTCAGTGATTGAGTAAATCTTTACTCAAACGCTTTTACTCATTTGCTCACCTGATTAAATAACTGCTCATCAAAGTTTAATTACTAAATCGACTGAAACAAGTTTTGAGAAGAGAGCAATAATTACGTAGTAAAACTGGAGTTTTTAAATTTCAAAATATATTTAAATATTTTTAAGCGTATATTATAACTAATTACCAAATAAATTATAAAGTAATGGTTAGACATTATTTCTTAGAAAATAAATATTTTCTTCGAATATTGGTAAATGAAAATTATGTATGTAGTTATTTTTAAAGTTATTTTTTTTGGTCTATTATAAAAGAAATAATACAAAAACTAGTGGTTGTTTGATTTTCGTAAAAAAGTAAAAGTAAACAAAAAATATTTAATTGTATCCCTTTATTATTAAAGTTTCCAAATAAATAGTATTAAAAGTTACTATAATTACACATGTAATTATATACATATGTACATATTCAAGTTTAATATTTAGATGACCTTTTTAAATTAAAAATAAAACTAAAACGTTAATTTATTTAAAAATTGAATAATTATAAAAGATTCTGCTCATTTATAAATATGTTTGTTTTATTAAATACTTAAATATTTAATATAATTATTATAAGAACTATTTTTTTAACAAAAATGATAAAACTTAAAAAACTTAAAAAGTTTAAATTGAAATTTTTGACAAGAAAAAACGTTTCAAATAAGAAAAAATTAACTTTCACCGTAGGGAAATAGATAAGTATAGGTAAATAGATATACAGGTTGGTTGAAAAGTTTCTGCGCTGGAAATGAAAAAATACTGTTTTTGGTGCGAAATATATTTTTTATTCAATATAATCTCCTTTAACTTCAATCCATTTATTCCAATGATCCTCCAATAATTTTATGCCATCCCTATAATAACTTTCCGGAAGTTCTGCAAAATACCCGTGTACGGCTGTAATAGTTTCTTCATTCAACGAAAAAAGCTTTCCACGAATGAATTGTTTCAGGTTTCTGAAGAGGAAGTAGTCGCTGGGAGCCAAACCTGGTCCTTCTCAAGGAATTTGTACTTTAATTCGTTGAACTTTGTCATTGTTAAAACACCTTTGTGAGCAAGTGCATTGTTGTATTGGTATTAGCAATTTCACGCTTAGTCAAACTTGGATCTTCACAAACAATATTATGAACTTGCTCAATGATTTCTGGCTTGTTTGCGGATTTTGGTAGTCCTTCGCGTGGATCCAGCCCAAAAATCTACGGCAACAAAAACAAGATTTGGAGCTAGTAGTGCTATTTTTTGGTGAGCACTACTCACTTTTCAACCAACCTGTATGTATACTTACTTACCTATTTACTGAAAATTAAAAGAACTCACAACAATCGGTCATTTTGTATGGCAGCTTTAGCACACAGCTGATCCACACAATTTGTTCGGAGATTGTACCGTTGCCTCAAAAAATAAACCGTGCTAAATTTCGTGAAGATATCTTGGCAAATATAATATATGTAATAGTTTTTTATACAAGAACTTGATTTAGATCGTTGAGCGTGTATGGCAGCTACATATATGCTATAGTGGTCCGTTGCCGGCGGTTCCAAAAAATGAGCAACTTCTTGGGGCGAAAAGGACGTGCGCAAAATTTCAGAGTGTTATCTCAAAAACTAAGGAACTACTTCGCGTATATACAGACAGATGGACATAATTGAGTGCTTAAAAAAATCGAAATTAAACAGTCAACAGTAAATCACAATAACATACACAAGTATATAAATATGTATGTGGATATATATTTATATGGAGGGTTGTCATAGCTATAGATGAAAAATATATGTACATACAGCACCCGAAGATGGCAACCGGCAACATAAATAATGAAACACCCACATAGACCAAAAACTTGAGTTTGACATGAAGAAGCGCCGCATAGCACCACATTTCACAGCACAGCAGACAGAGCAACGCCAAAAACGCAACAAAATGTCACAGCTAAAATATTTTTAAAAAAGCCATTCATCTGCCGAAGATGGAGCTGCAACAACAAATATAATCATAACAAATAACCGTTTACATTGTTGCCGGAAAAAGGTTCGAGAAATGGATGTCAACAGTTGATAGAACGAACTGCGTTCAAAAAATTCAAAAATGGTTAAATTAAAAGAAATTAGAAAATGAAATTATTTCATTTCGATTAAAATATATATAGGTATATGTATTGTGTATATACATATATATTATATAGGTCGTAGTGCAAAGTAGTAAATAATAGTTGTATGAAAGTGTTAAAAATGTTAAATAAAGAAAAAAATTATATTTGACATATATAATAATTAAAAATAGATCAGTTAGTATGAGATACTTAAATATCGTTTTTCAATGTATCACAATTTAGATCCATCTTCAGGTAGTTCTTTGACATAACAAAAGGCTTGTTTAAATCCAAAAGAAATACAAAATAAAGTTGCCCATGTAGAAAAACTGCTAAACCCCTTGTCAGTGGTTAAAGCCGACTTAGTCAACGTATGTAGACATACGTTCTTTCTGTGAAGTGTCGAGTGAAATAAAACTACATTCTTTTATTTACTTATTATTTTCAAAAATATTGTTATTTTTATAATGGTTCATCTGCTTATTAATGAATATATTAATTTCATATAATACCGATCGATTAATACTGACACCGATTGGAAAGAAACCAAAGGCTCGACTTTTAATATTTCGAGTTAAGTACGAAAGAAAACAGAATAAATAGTCAAATTTCACATTTCACCACGAGCATTCAACAGTCAAATCATATACATAATATTATTTACTCTAACATACCACTTTTCTACTTCAGTTCTTTGATTTCCACAAATGCAAATTCGATTGGCATAGTAATCATACGCAAAATTTCAGCATTTAATTAGCACCTGCATCCCAAAATATGGTATTTCAAAAGTAAACCGGGTACATACATTAGAGCGGGTTGATTTACAGGTAGCCAAAAAAACAGAAAAATCGCATATGCGACAAATATGCTACGGATCATTGTTCCTGTATGGCATTCATTGTGCAACCGAAGTTTTCGAAGAATACCATTCATATTAATTCAAGTAATGAACTGGTAGGTTGAGCAGGTTAAAATATTAAATACTCTTAGGAAAATGTAAGAATTAAAGACATGTTTCGAACAGAAGACATTTAGATTTAGAGTTAGTTCACGAAAACTCCTAACTCAGATGGGTTTGATTATACAGAACAATTTTACAGATGCAGCATATCGAAATTGTAAAAATGCTTTGATATTTGGAACAGTTAACAAACCGTATAGCTGCTCACAGTTAAGCTTTTCAATGACATAGGCTATGGCAAGTGTCTGCAGGATTCATTGCTGTTTGCTACAGTATACCACGAGAAGGAAAGGCGCTTTCACAGTTAGACAACCAGTTATCTAATATTGACTACAGGCCAACATTATCTTCCGGTAGGCTCTCACTTCTTTTTGTATAGTTTGTGGAGAGATGACGGGTGTGATGGGACTGTTGCTTGCAGTGATGAAGTTTGAATTGTTATTTGGGGAGCTTTTATTTTTGGTGTAGAGAAGCTCGATTCACTGACATGTAAGCATAATGCTGCAACCATTTGATTCATTATTGTAATACAAGACTGAGAGTTTGAGAGCTTTGAGAGTTAGACATTTACACATGTAAGAGTATTAATTTAAATATCAATAATTGCCAAAATACAGAGCCGCAACAAAATCCTCACACGAGGATTGTTGTTGGCAACTTACAAGACAATTTGTTAATTACGCAGCCGAAGAAGCTTTAGACTCTTGAATGCAAACAGTGCACTCCATACTATAACAGGATGCCTTCGGATGTCTCTCATAAAATACATGGGAGCATCAAGAGATCATTCCGTGATTATGTCAATGACATAGAAGAATTAATCGACCAGACTACGGACGTAACTAACTCCAGACACGCATTGAAACCCCAGATCGACCCCGACATACCAAATATATGTCCTGCGTTCGATAAGTCCCCACATCACTCTAACCACTTCTTTGCATGCCCAATGAATACCACTCATCTACCACTCTTCTCCTTATTATCCGACTCCGTCAAAACATCACTTTTATGGGCCTTACGTTAGATGATTTTGACTAGGCAAGCTGCAAGACGCAAGTCATTTAACCAGGGTCTAGATAACCGCTACAACAACAACAACAACCGGTATAAGAAGGGGGGGACTATATCACAAGCGTTGGAAAGGGCTACCAAGATGGTACGGGTACAATATCGCCTCCGGTTGAACCCGTCTGTGATTAGCGCTTTTAGGCGTAGATATTAAGAGATGCTAGACGTCCTACAGAACCTTTGGTTATATTGATAAGGTGCAAGTGATCTGTTATTGACTGGGAGAGTAATGCCTCAATAATTTTTCCTAGAATAAGAGAATAGTGATTGAGCGAGTATCGTATAAAATAAATGTTTGGACAAAATTCAATTACATTTTCAACATAGTTGCCATCGAGGGCGATACAACGACTATATCGATATTGGATCGCCAAATTCTCGATATTTTTTTTTTGCATGAGTTGTCTCTTTTTTCAAAGAAGTCCCAATATACGAGGGTTGCCTTTTATATTTCGTGATTAGAAAACAAAACCAAATATTAATCAACGAAAATCGCTTCCTTGTTTTTTTTTCAAAATATTCTCCACTAATATAATATAGAATTTTGCATAAAAATAAAGACATATGTATGTATTGTATGTGTGGTATACATGCATTCGAATATTTTGATTGAAACCACTAAGCTTTAATTCATTAAAATGCTTGTATTATATTTTTATTTTTATTTTTTTAAATTAAATTTTTTTAACTTTTTAAACATAAGTATATCTTAATTACATATTAATTATTATTTTTTTTATAATTTAACTCACAGTAACCTTTATTAAATCAAAAAATGTGTACATTCAGATTTTATAATTTTAACTTTTTTCAGTAAAAAACATTTTAAATGCTACTGGTTTTGTTAAACAATATTCTTTCGTTATGCTTACACATTAATGGTAGTGGAAAGAAATGTAGACATAGTTTCTGACCTTATATAAATCCAAGTTGGGACTGTTTACTATATGCAACAAGTGTATATACAGTTATGTAATAACGTTTAAATGAAATAATTGTAAAGCAAAATGCAATATATAAATATGTAAATGGAAATATTAAATAGAATACTAAGTACATTTTATTTAAAATAAATTAAATGCACCTAAATAAAAAATAAATCTAATGACTTTATCTATAATTTGCACAATTTTTAACTTATGACAAAATTTTTTCGTTGAACAATATGAAAAACTTTGTTTTTCTATTCTACTGAACAATAATCTTGCCATATCCACGGTATTGGATAAGCTATTTAAAGCAAACAGATAACATTTCCAAATAATGAAAGATTTTGGTCAACAAACACTACACTTGCTACTAATCTGACACACAGTTTCAAAGCATTCTTCTAATGAACAACCAATGCCCATGCACTCTTTATTTAAGCACCACTCAATTCCTGGCTGGCGTGAAGTACATGCTGTTGAGAAAAGCACGCGCCACATCACCCACCACTGAGCGATCAGGTATGGCCTGAGCCACGCCATAAATTGCCATTTTACCCTCGACGGGTTGACCAGGATCCTTCATGATTTCAGCGACACACGCTTTGAAGTCATTTATGAACTTGTCGGCAACGCCTGGTTGGGTGTGCATGTCCGTAACGCAAATGTGTATACTGAAGGAAAACGAAAGTTAGTAACAAAATGCAATGTTTTTGCTTTTTTAATAACAACAACGCACCCTGAGGGAAACTGCAATGCGTTCAAACTCCAACCCAGCTTGCATAGCGCATCCGACAGACGGAAAATATCGAAGACATTAGAGCCAATAGCGATAACGGTTGTAGCGGGCTTGCCAAAAACGAAGACACCATCTACTTTACGTATGCTGCAAAACAAATTCACAGAATTTAGTTTAATTTTTCATATAAAAATAAATTGCTTACGCCGCCTCAATGTAGCGCGATGTGTCCACAATACGTTTTGTTGCCTCCAGATAACCTTCGTGGCCGAAACTCATCATAGTTGCCCAACAAGCGGCAATAATGCCACCTGCACGCGAGCCATTCACGGTGGGTGAGCCATACACGCCGCCAGGCCAATCGGTGGTTACGGTAAATTGATGATTCAGATACTTCTGATCGGAGTAGAGAATGATGGAGGAACCTTTAGGTGCAAAACCGTACTAGATAAAGAAGGAAAAAACAATTTTTTTATAAAAACGTTGTAACTTTAAATGGCAAAATATGTTAAATGCACACCTTGTGGGTATCAGCTGAAATACTGGTGACGCCATTGATGCCAAAGTCGAATGGCTTGATTTTATAGCCAGCTTCTCTGATTAGCGCAACAATAAAACTACCCAGACAAGCATCCACATGCACCGGTATATTATATTTGACGCCCAAAGCGGCAATAGCTTCAATATCATCGATGGTGCCGTAAGGAAAATTCGGCGCTGAACCAACCAGCTACATACAAACATATGTGAAATTTACAGTAAAATATTTTTCTCGTAAAATTACAAACAAAACACCGCATGGCTGCAAACATTACCAGTATCGTATTGGAGTTAATTGCACGCTTGACTGCCTGCACGTCCACTTCCAACGTTTTCGGATCCACATCTACATAAATTATATGTATTTTGAAGTACTGAGCTGCCTTGTCGAACGCCGCATGCACTGTTCTCGGCACAATCATGTTTGGACGCTGCACATTACGCGTTTCACGCGCATAATCACGATATGCTTTGCATGCCATCAATATGGATTCGGTGCCGCCGGTGGTCATCTGTAAAGAAGGCAAAAGATCAGCAAATAAATAAATGTGTTAAAATTTAATATTTCTTAAAACACACCGTGCCGCAACTATTTGCATCGCCATGGAAAAGCGTACACGTCATGCGCACCACTTCTGCTTCCATTTTGCAAACGCCGGGGAAGATGTCGGGATGCAATGGATTCGTATATGATGTTTTGCCATATACTTCGGTTATCAGTTCAACTAAGTCTTCTTTGAAACCGTACACGGCACCCGAAACGCGTCCCTCACGCCAACTATAGTGTCCGATATTTAAATGTTTATCTACTAGTTGTAGAATTTCTACGCGGCTCAGCCCATTAGCCGGTAATTCTAGCGACCAACTGAGATCGGTGCAGCTTTTACTTATTTCACCCTCGAAATCCCGCTTGGCCTTTGAGATTTCGGCATCGATTTTGCGACGCACGGCAGGCAGTTTCTTGGCCAAGCGGAAAAATTGCCGCTTGCAACGTACGATTATGCCTGAAATGTATTAAAGCGATCAAATTAATGATTATATTCAAAGGATATATTTACTACGTCGAAATAGAAAATATTTAATATTGCTCCATTAAATTCATAAAAAATTTTTATACCACGAACAAGGTGTATTAAATTAGCCACAAAGTTTGTAACATCCAAAAAGAAGAAAATACCAGAGACCCTATAAAGTACGAGTATATAGTAAATGGTCAGCGTAACGAGCTGAGTCGTTTTAGCATGATCGCCTGAAGGACTATCTCAATTATTGAGATATCGATTTGAAATTTTGTACACACCCTTTTCTTCCTAAGAAGCTGGTAATTTGTCGGAAACGCCGATATCGGACCATTTTCCATATAGTAGCCATATAAGGTGATCGATTCAAATCATGTTCTTGTATGGAAATATTATTCATTTTGGATTTGGAGTTGGATGCAAACCTCCGCCAATGGTACGTTTACAGATTAAGTTATATATATGATTGCTATAAGAAACGCACCTGTGAAGGGTAACGTTTCGGTACAGACGTAGTTAACACTTTTTCCGATTTTTATTATTTTTTTGCTTAGGTACATTGCTTTTGCTACGTTTCAAAGTACAACGGTTGCAAAGGCGTTTAAAACAACGAAAGTAAATAGTATTGTCTTGTGAGTTATAGCATAGACATACTAGCAATAAAACAGCACAATGGTGAGATAAAATGCCTTACACACCAACTAAATGCTTAATTTTCTTCTATTTTTAAATGCGCTTATCAATTTTTTTTCATAAATTCAAGCAATTCATTGATAAGCCGGTTTCAAAAGCGATTATGAGCCTAAAGCTTATCAGTGTTAAAGTTAAAAAAAAAAATTAAAGACAGCCGATTGCTGATTAAAATATATATTAAGGAAAAATTATAATTTTGAAAGGTGCAAGGGTACCAGAGAGTCTAACATAAGTAATAAATAAATAATACAAAATAATACTTTTACTGATAGCACTATAAATATGTAATATGAACAAATGGCAAAAAATAAGAAGAACACTGTATACATAAGTGACATCTAAGATTGCAAGCAATATAAATAAAATGTTTTTGCAGCTGCATAAAAAATTGCTTTGCATGTGCAGATCAATTAGTACTTGATTGTGATTTAATTTTTGTGTTTGAATTCGCAATCTTACCAATTGTGCTTTTTGTTTTTTGAGTAAAATTAAAAACAATGAATTACACTTTTAAATGATAAATTTAAATGGTATGTACATAGCGTTTACTCACTCTCATCCTGATTGATGAATGTCCATAGCCACACAGTGCTCAACACTGTTGTCGCTGTAATGGCTGCTACTTGCCATGGTTCTTTATTGCCGAATGCCCGATTCAGTCCACTTGTTATTGGTTTTGTGTAGTCACCAACCTGGATTGGTTTCATGTTTGCTCTTCTTTACTCTCTATATCGTTGGGTTTGGAATTTGTACTTATAATTTATCACTTTTCGTTACTTTCTTAACTTATGTATGTACAGTGGAATTTTTTTAAGCGTTTCAATATATTCGCGGTCACAGCGTTCGCTTGCTGGTTTACCCGTTGAAAGCGTGCTAATAACTAAGTGTGAATCTATCAATTGACCAGAAAGCTTGCCGCTCTGCTACACTACAGTTTGTGGTACTTATATGTTTAGTTTTATATACGTTGCTCCTAAACGTTTAGTTGTTGAGAAAGCACATGAAATAAATAGCAGAAATGATAAAGTTAATGTAAAATTTCTTTGTTTCTATTGCAACGGTGATTCATAAAAAGCGAAACCTGACTGTTTTATTATTCTTTTGGTTTTGTTTATTGCTTTTTTATTTGCTCTTATCTCAAATATGTATGGATGTATATGTATACAAGGAAGCGTGGCCGTTGATCCGTAGTTGCTAACATATACAAGTTATCAATATAAATTCTATGTTTGCAAGTAAAAAATAGGAAATTATTATTTACTTATCACTTAATATTACCCTTTTTGCTTACCTTCTTTGCTACACCTTTTTCGCTACAATTTTATAACTAAGCACATTTGATTTTGGTATTTTGTAGTTAGCCGTTTGCAGATACTGCCAAATATTATTTATGTTGTGTTCAAAGTTATTATTTATACGTTTTGTATATTTGTTACAAATTTTGCTAATTTGACAATATTTTTTGTAATTGATAAACAATACAACATTAAAATATTCTTTCAAAGAGAAACAGCTGTTTTATTTTGTTCATGTAAACAAAAGTTAAGTTTGCTGTAGTTTAAGTAATGAAGCTATTGTAAATGAGTTGGTTGTAGTGTTGGCAACTGACTCTAAACATTATAATTAAATTAATGGTTGAACTTAATATATTTTCTAAATTTCAAATATACATTTCTTCAATTTACGCCCAAATAAATAACCACATATTTGTCCAACTGTGAAATTTATAATATACAAATTATCTTGAAAGGATTTAGGCTTTCAAAGGGAACAGAATATTCATATATGTACTTATAGGTCTTAAAAGTAATTTTTGTTGTATATAATAACTTTACAAAGCGAATTTATATCATTCATTTTAACAACTGATAGTTAGTTTTATTTAATATTTTGATTGATTGAAATGTCAAATAGGTAGTGTTTTCAGTTCAAATTTGTTTTCGTGTTGGCAAACTTCTCCGCATCGTAAAGGGATTATACCATGCTTCTCCATTATTTAACATTTAAGGCATTTATGCACTTTTAGTTCATTTCGACAACTTTAATCTGATCTAATATTTTCCTAACTGCTATAACCTTACGCAACTTAATATAATATTTGCTTGATGCACAACAAATACTTCTTCAATTTCCTGGGGGTCCTTTGCTGTCTATGTAAACATTTCTTGTTATCTATGCATTAACAGCTGATTAGTTATCGGCAATTGAGTTGTCACTGTGTCTATTTAATTCGCAACAAGTGTGATTTTAGCATTATTAAGCAAAAAATGTTGCGAATGATATTTACAACGTTAGCGAAGGTAAGTGAATACAGAAAAAAATGTACGCAACAGATAAGACATTTTAGAATATGTATTATTTTTAGAGCTCAAATTCAACAGCAACCGCTGCGACGGCTTCATTGCAAGCTGGAAGCTTTCGGAAACAAAGTACAATAATTAAACAAACCGATGGCGTACGCGAAATCGTTCTGAATGATCCAAGAGCACGCAATACACTCTCCTGCGAGGTAATGTCATTGATATTGGACGGCATTACAAAAGATGTGCATGACGAGAGTTTGCGTTGTATTGTCATTAGTTCTACCGGCCCAGTGTGGTCAGCGGGACATAATTTGAAGGAAATCGTATGTAACTGAATGTTTGCGTATTAATATAGCTATATTAATGTCTAATTATCTCATACATTTATTGTAGTCAGCATCTAGCGATAAGGGTCATGCGATCTTCAGTCAACTTGTTGATATTATTTTGAACATTTATAAATCACCCGTGCCAATAATAGCGAAAGTAAATGGCATGGCTACTGCTGCAGGCCTACAGCTGGCTGCTTCGTGTGACATGGTAGTGGCATCGGATAAAGCTAGCTTTGCAGCTTCAGGGTATGTAAATGACAATGTCCAATAGTAGGGTTGCGTGCTAAACGCATATAACGTTTATTTATTTATTTTATAATTGTTGAATGGGCCACATTTAGTGTTAACATTGGTATATTCTGCACTACACCGGGTATTGCCATATCACGTGTTATGCCACGGATGAAATCCTCTTACTTGCTATTCACTGGTTTTCCCATCAACGCACAGGACGCGCTAACGGCAGGTAAATCATAAACAATACTTTTAGTTTTTAATGTTTTAATAAAATGTTGTATTTCAATTAAGGTTTGGCTAGCGTTGTGGTGCCGGAAGCACAATTAGATGCTGAAACAGACAAAATAACTCAATCGATAAAGGAGAAACCACGCGCTATATTAGCCATGGGTAAAGCATTCTACTATAAGCAATTGGGCTTGAGTGTCAAGGATGCTTACGATCAAGGCACAGACGTATGTTTTAAAATGTGTATATACCTTTTAAAAATATAATCTATAATTGCTGTGTTCATATTGCAGGTAATGGTTAAAAATATCGGTATGGAAGATGCGCAGGAGGGTTTAAGGAGCTTCGTAGAGAAGCGCAAACCAAATTTCACAAAGAAGTAATAAGCGCTTAAAAAATTATGGAAATTATGTTTGTTGCCATGATTTCCTAAACAAATGTTGTTACATCGTGCATTATATGGATATATGTGGCTCGGTTTGCAACTAAATTGCATTTATTTTGTGTCTTTAAAAGTAATTTTTTTGTTGTTAAATGTGTATAGTTAATATCTAGAGATATTTTCTGCTATCCTCAGCGTAGTATATAAGCGGGTTTAACGGAATATGTATGTACTTATTTTCATGATGATAAAAATATATATTCATAATAAAAATTTATGGTGAACTGAACTTTCAAGAGAGTGGTTATTAATTGTGAGATATGTCCAGCATATAAATTGGAAGTGCGAGCGCAAGTGGTACCTAGTAAATGAGTTAGGTTAGCTGGTGCGCGCATGCAGGACGTGTACATGCTTAGTAGGTCAGGGTCAATTCTGAATATGTAGGAGTTGTATCTATTAAAATATCTAGCAGGAAATTCGCAACGCTGGTGGTTCTACCGTAACGAAATTAGCCGATTTTCTTCGCTCAAGGACTGGTGTTTCCAAGATCTAACCCCGTTTGATGGTAAGTAAAACGTTAATTCTACCGGTTTGGTAGTTTTTGATCGTCTTAGTAACGTATTGCTTGAATAATTGTTGTCTTTGCTTTAGTAATATTTAAATTGAGTAATAAATGAAAAAATGAAACACAAACACTCTCTGTATGCTTTCTTTATTGTAACTTTTGTTATTTTGACATTAAAGTACAATTAAAGAAAATTTCGTTACACGTTAAAAACGGCTGTTTTCAAAATTTCACTATTTTGTTGTTGTATTTAACATGCTATTTTTGTGTTAATCTAATTTGCGTATTTTTTCATTCGCTGCTTAAATAGTAAATTGATGTTAACTGCCTATTGCTGCGTCTTCTCTACGCGCCTTTGATTAACACGAATTTATTATTTTGTGGTTGTTAAAATTATTGATATTTGCAAATTTTTTTTATTTATAGTTCTTCTTTGCTTTTCTTCTAATGTGTTCTTTTGCTGGTTTTTTGGTAGCTTGTCCAGTGTACATCTCAATAGTTGTGTTGCTCGTTGTAGTTGCGTTTGTTCGTTGTGCAATATCTTTTGACATTTGGATGCAATTTTTTGTTGTTCTTTTAATCACTTGAGTTTTTGTGTTGGTTAGTGAGTGTTTGATGATTTTGAATTTGAGTTTATGATTTTAAAATATTTTCTGATAAGGGGTGCTTCGTTGAAAGTGGCAATGGTGAGCTTTTTTTAGCACTTTTTTTACCGACACTCAAGTGTGTTTGTTTGCAATGTTTGTTAGTTTAAAATTAGAGTACAATTTAAATGTGGTTAAAAATAGTAGTTTTTTTAAGTTGGCACTAAAATACTTGCATACAATCTAAATGTATATCTTTTATATTAATAATAGTAATATGTATGTAAACCATTAACCCGTAAGGAGATGTTAATTAATGTATGTACGAGCGTCTAAGCATGCAGGCAAGCAGTAATATAACAAACCTACAAATGTATGTATACAACTGTGCGTGCATGCTTAGCTTGTTTTTTGTTGTTTGTTTGCTTGTGGAGCCTATCGCTTATAATAAACTTTTAAATTTTTCAATTTTATTTTTTATAGAAAACTAATTAACTAAAATTTACCAAGCACTAAAAGCAATTAAACTAACTTTCTTTCAAAAATTGTTGTTGTATTTGAAATTTATTTTAACTTTAATGTGCTTTTGGTGTTTTAGTGAGCGCTAAAGTGCTTAGAGAGTTGAATGCAAAGAGAATTATTTAGTAAGTAATTAATTAGACTACTAGCATTTGTTTTTTAAAACAACAAATATAGTTTTTAATAGAAATATTAATTTTTAAAAATAATAAGATAAAAATATTATGGAAATACATTTTTATAAAATTAAATACATATGTGCTTAAGAGAGTTTTACAAGTGTCATAACCTGCCAAGAGTTTAAAATACCATTGAAAAGAGTAAAAAATATTATTTAAAATGATAAAATAAAAATAAAATAGTAATAAAAAAATATATAGAAGTTTTAGTGCGCGTATGTAAAAGGTAACATAACCTAAATTTTCAATTTTTCAATTTAACATTTCCAAGAGTTAAAATCATTTTAAAACAGTAACCGTAGAAAATTTCTGTTTAATCGAAAAAATTTTGAAACTATTACTTTGTATATGAAAAGTTACTTTGTATAAGTAAAGTAAGTAAAATTTTTCAAATTAAGTCTTTTTTGTAAATGTTTTCGACTGCGCAAAGTTAGTTTCTACAGATATTCATCGATTTTTTCAAACTTCAATTTAATTATTTAAAATTTCAAATACACAGTAGACAAAAATTATATTAAATAAAAATAATTTGTTTCAGAATATTTTTTGCTCATTTTAAACTATTTGACTCTCATTAAATTTAATATAGACTTTGTTTATAGTTTTTGCTGTTAATATTTGTAATTAAAAGTGTATTGAGTGATATATATTTTTTAAATAAGTTTTTGTATTAAAAATAATTTTTTACTTTATTTAAAATGGGTATTTGAAAATTATAAACATATATCGAAAAATTGAAAATTTCAGTTACATAATTGCAAAATAGATTGGAATTCTCAGTAGGAAACATATTTTGCTGCACTAATTAACAGAAATTATATTATAAAAATTTAAATAAAATTAATATAAAAATATAAAAAATAATAATAATAAGACAATATATTGTCATATTAAAAACAAAAATAGTATTCCCAACTCCTATATAAAATACGCCACACTAATGCATATATTTAACTAATTAAAATATTATTTAACAATTTTAACATAACCGTTAATGTTTTTTAGCACAACAAAAACAGTTATTGGCTATAATTGTATTACTATTTATTTCCCCGTTATATAATAATATTAGTTCACAATTAATTACCGTTAAAAAGTACACAAAAAAAGGAACAAAGTGTCATGTAGATCAATATTGTTTTTAAGATGTTTTTTTATATTTTTTTATTAAATGTTATTGTTGTTGCCTATCATGGAAATCCGTAAAAATGTATATATGTAGGTGTGTGTGTGTTTAAAAAGCTTGGCTTTTCTACAAATATTATTTATGTGATGTTTAGAATTGTATTTTTTTTTTGCTGTTTTGCATAAGTTTCTTCTTTCTCACGCCGTTTGTTTTAGTTTAGCACTTCCCATGCTATGCTAAGTTATGCTATGCGGAGTAAGACTTTCTTCCAGCTCTTTTATGTTGTTATTCAAAATTATGTCAGCTTTCATTTAATTATTATTAATTTGTTTTGTTTTTTTGCCTTAAACTTCAGTCACGGGTCTCTTCTCGATCCAGGCCTTGATCGGTTCCAATGCGTTGACTTCATCAACGACAGCCTTCAGCGCTGGATATTGCTCTAACAGATCACGCTTTACCATGTAGTTCATGTAATCGATGATACCGGCGAAGTAGACATCGGCCCATGTTATCTGAAATATAGAATGATGTTATAAAAATTGTATTTATAAAAAAAAAAAATTGTTTTCTCTTCTTCATAATGTTTCTTTGTTAAATCATTAACCATAATTTTCGATCTATGGAGTACTAATTTATTGAGCATTCGATGGTATGATAATCATATATGCAATCAGATTGATTGCAAACTCTCAATTCATACTCCTACATACGTATTTTGAACGCCGACTATCAACTATAGACGAAGTGAGTGGCAGAACTCGGATTGTGAAGAGTTAAAATCGATCTAAGTTTGCTATCGGAGTTGGACTGGCACTAACTAATCGGATACTCTTGCACGACCTTCGGCAAACGACGCACAACCCATGAAGTTATTGCATGTAAAGGACTTCTCAAAAAATTCATCGATCTTTCGAAGACAACTTGCAGTTTTTTAGAATCCTCTGATCCATTTTATTTTGTGACCTCATTACATAATTATCAGTTACGTAATCATATTGATGCATTGTGTTCTGAATGCCATCGGAACATCTTATATAGTACGTTAATGCTAATAAGGTTAGTTCTGTATAGTATATTTATATAAAAGTACCGTTATATGACTTCAAGCTTAGATATATAGGTGAATATACGCTTAACAATAGAGTTCGGAATATAACTCGGCCAGTTGTGGGTCAGTATCGGCCAAGCCACCTTTTCAAAATCAATTACAAACCTGTGGTTTCTCCAAATGAAAAGTTGATGACAAATTATTCGACAAATTGAGTCTATGGAGATCTACCATTTGTCGAGTTAGTCTATCCACAGTTTCAATAGCACAAAAATTCAAACTTCTTTTCCATTTTTCGGATTCTCCATAATTCGACTCACCTTTCCCAATGAGAAGTGTCCCTCATTATCCTTAACAGTCTGTTCCAATTTTTCCAAATAGAATGGAATGACTTCGGTATTGAGTGTTACGAGTTTCTTCTCTTTGATATCATCCTCAGGTTCATAGGAGACGACTGCAATTTCTATAGATTAAAATAAAAATTAATCAAAACAACACGCAACATGCAAGCGCACACATTGTTCGCTACTTAGACGGAAATCGTTGATGGTATCAACAACAATATCGATTTGTAGATCCTCCCACGGTGTGGCACCGTTCAGACCAACTGTACGAGCCAAAAAGCGGGCCATCGAAATGCTCTGATGTACACGTTTGCCATCAACTTCCAGTACTGGCATTTGACCCATGGGCATTGCTGTGAAGGCGAAACCGAGAGAGTAAGGAAAAGAGAGAGAGAGAGAGAAAGAGAGGAGAGAGAGAGAGAGATATAAGGAGATAGTAAGATAGGCAAAGAAAGAGTGGGAACGTATTAGTGATACTTTTACGAATAACCCTTCGACTATTAAAAGTGCGTCGCGCCGACTACTTACTCGGCTTGAGTGCCGGCCACTCGTCACGCGTGACACGCACATCTTCGTACTCGATGCCGCCGTATGCGAATAAATAACGTAGCGGCTCAGCCAATGCTTTCACATTGAAGTAGAAGAGGGTGTAGGAGTGTTTGATGGGTTCAGCTGGTGGCGCATCAGCGGCCGCTTCGGCGGGCGCGCCCTCGGCACCCTCTGCTGGTGGCGCCTCCTCTGCTGGTGGCGCTTCCTCGGCTGCTGGTGGTGCTTGTGCTTCATCGGCCATTATTTATATATTTGTTGATTGATTGTGGTAACTGTGTGAAAATGGAGAGAATAAATATTTTACTATATTTTTATTATTATTATTTATTGAAAATATAATTGATTGATGTAACGTCACGTGTCATTTCTATTACTATTGCTGGAGTGACAAAAAACAATTTACATTTTCAATTCATTTACAACTAAAAGTCAAGTGGTCTTACATTGGTAATTTTTGTGCCTAGATTCTAACAGATAAACTCTTGGAAGGTTAAAGTAATATTTAGTTAAAAAAAAATGTGGAAAACGGTTGGCCTCAAGGGCCATCCCTGCAACTTCCCTCTAATTTCATACGCTAACGTTCAAATTTCGCTTGTTTCACTGCTTTTGAGCTCTTCGAAATTTTTCGTTTTCGATATCTAGCAAGTAAATCAACCGATTTCGACCCGGTTTGCGGCAAACGATGTGTTTCTTCAAGGTTTAGAACTGATTAGTTTTTGGTGTCGATCGGTCAAGTCGTTTGGAAAAAATTTTTCAAAATTTTTATTTTTGAGATTTCTCGAAATCTACTGGTCCGATTGGGTCCAAACTTACACGAAATTCAAGTGCAATGAAACCCTTTGGAATGCCGTTTAGTTTATTAAAATCGGTTGAGCGGTTTAATAGTTATAAGAGGATCACATACATCCACACACACACACATACATCCACACATACATACAGACATACGGACATCATCGTAGAAATGTTCGGGGAAGCTTCCTCGACCCTCAGAACGTCGAGATCTGTTGAGAACTCGATTTTTGCAAAATGGGGTGAAACCAATATCTTCCCGATTTTTAGAAAATTTTTCATTTTCTTAGCGGGAAATTAAAAAAAACAGGAAAAACGAAGTAGCGGGCGCGCAAGAGAGAAAAGAGTCTTGTATTAGAATGGACAGCTCGATTAACCGAATATCTTCAGTTTGAGGGTAATAAAACAGGCACTAAAACCCTGCGATCTATTCTTTCGCCTCTTTTCGCAAATTTCTGTCAAAATATGCCGAACCTAGCAGGAAAAAAAATCTTTCGATTAGAATTGCCAGCTTGATTAAACGAATTCCTTCAGCTTCGGGGGCACCACATCAAGCACGAGGTCACCACTTTTCTTTCCTCTATCTTCCCAATGTTAAAAGGTTTCAGTCGTATGCAAAATTGCAAAATACAATTGCAATTTATAACATACAAAAACATGTACACTGTAACTTTTTGTTAAAAATGGCTTTGTGTCCTCATTAATATTTCAGATAAGATAAGGTTTTCTGCCAGACAAATACATTTAATAAGACGCTCTCAGTTAACAAGATACGAGCAATATAGGTAACCCCATTGGGTATGAGCGATAATACATTTTCAGATAAGAATACTCATAATCATAATAAATGGTGCTTAAAAATGCTTCAAGGTTTCTTTGAACTAGGGGGTAATCAAGTTTTTTTTATACCAACACAAACAAATAACTCGGTTTATAAATAAAAACTAAACCATATGGAATGTGCACTACAGTGACGCATTAGTGACAATAGGTCAGTAAAATGGGTCTAAGCTGTCGGATTATCATCGAAATTAATCTGAATTACATCGGATATTCTTACCTAATGGGTTCGTGAATGAATATTTCCCGAGAAGCATCACAGATATTTGAAGTGTCTCTTTTTTATCAGACTATTTATATAATTTTTGAAACAGACGGTAACTCTTCGTAAAAATAATACTTTTTCAAACCTGTTTAGTCTGATACCATTATTATAATATTAAATTAATGTACCTTAAAATGTATATATGAATATTGACAAACTTTTCAAACAGGTGGCAACACTACAAATATTTGTAATTGTAAGCTTCAATAAACGTCTACAGTTCACGCCTATCGTAATAGTTCGTTTATCTTAAGTTTACTCAAATTTTGCAAACACTTGGCAACGCTTATTAAAAATATCGCGCACTAAATGTAAAAAATGTTTAACTCAACACCCATTTTGTAATAATTCGTTTCTTTTATCAATTTACAATACATTTAAAAAATCTTAAACAGGTGGCAATCCTATTTGACAATATTTCTAAATATTTATAAATTTCAGACATTTTTCAACAGTTTTTTCGATAGCATTCTATCTTAAATTTGTTTAACTTCATAACCATATTGCCATACTCTTCTTTGATTTAAATAATTTAAACAGGTGTTAATTCTGTTTAAAAATGTTTTGAGTTCTAAGCCATCTTAAATCTTTTTAATTACATTTTCGATTATCTAATCAACTTTTTCGTATAAATTTTTTTATTAGGTGGCAACACTTTTTAGAAATACTTTTAACTGTAAGTTTTCTTAAATCTTATTGGCAGATACTCTATGGGCTAATATCCAGTTTCAAGATGAATTGAAGCAAAAGTTCAGAAAAGATTTTAAGTGAGGTGTAAGAAAGTTAATCTTGAGATCTCGAACTTTTGCATTACGAGCACGGATCCGTAGTTACTCAAGAGATCATACTACGATATCGTAAGCGCAATCATCGATTTATTAGTATAAAGGTACATATATATATAAAATATATATATATATATATATAATGGATATATAAACGCTCAACAGATATTAGTCAAAAGTTGTAGTTTTCCCATATACCCAAGTTGGGGATTTCCTATTTTTATTGGAAGAAATTAAGTCTGTAAAAGTTGAGTGTTCAAAGATAGCAAGAACAAAAATATTCGAAAAAGGTGCTTTATTATTTATAGAAGTTTATTTCAGAAATTTTACCGATAATTTTTATCTCATCTACAATTTCGTCCGAATTTCGTGCTTTCAGTGAATTTTACATTCTCAGCGATAAAAGAGAACATAGAAATTGGTCTAAGGAAATCGAAGAATGATTAAGTAGTATTTTATTGATTAACTAAGAAGTCGAGGAAGCTGCCATCTATAGAGCAGACTTAGATAGCTTACAAACATCTCATCTTTAACAACACAATTTAGACTTTACAGTGTTCAAATGTGTGGTAGACTGAAAAATTATAAAATTTTCGATTATAATTTTTACTATTATCTATTAATAATAACGGTACTTCTTAGACAACAAGAGAGCTAAACGGGAACGAAACACTCTCCGCTTCTCCTACTGCCTACTTTCATGCTTGTTATAGAAACTACTTAAAAGCGAACAAAAACATATGCGATTCAGCGCAAAATCAGCTCTTCCTTACTCAGTTGCTACTGTTGTCTACTTTGAGTCTTATCAAAGCTACTCTAGTTCTAAATTCTCGCAAATAAAGTTAAAAACATATCAAACCTGTTTCATAGCCACTCAACTTGACTCGAAGCTTACACATGTCAGCTACAAATATAGCCTATCTTCGGACACTCAAGAGCTTCATGCTTAATTTGCATACAAATATTGGGCAGTTGGAACTGACACACACACACATATATATATATTTTTAAGCGGAGAAGGAGAGCTTTAGGCGATTTTAGTAATTGAGAATGGATTCATGCCGCAAACTTGTTAGTTCACGGGCAAAGTCAAGTGATTTCACGACCAATTAAATGTTTGATGGTGTATTATATAGTTCGAATGTATGTATGTCTGTGTTGTTGTGCTTGTTGCTGGAAAAAATATTCTTTTAATAACATCCGTTGTTTACTGCAATTTATTATTAAGTACTTGCTAATTTAAAAATACAATTCTTTTTTGTAAATATGGCAGCATTTCTCAAGGGTAACGGTTATTTTTTTTAGCTATAAATTAACATATTCTTGCAAGAATTGCTAAACGAGCTCAATTACCATAAATCAGACTTTGGCTGTTGTATAGCAGAGTGAGGTCACGAGGGTCGCTGCGGAAAGAGGGTGTACTGGGGGTATTATGTACTGTGTATGTATGTGAGACAGTGGTGGGCGTTTAATTGCAATCGCACAATGTTTGGGGATTGAGGAAATACGCCTAATGCGTCTTGGAATGCGAGCAGGCAGACCAAATCGGGCGAAACCGATGCACCAAAGCAACGACAGTGGCAACCAAACAACAAACCAGCTCGGCTTGGGTAAACAGCAACGCCCACGCTACAAACAAGCGCACGAGTGCAGCGTGCAAAGCGCACAAAAAAGGAATTAAATGCAATAAGCGAGCGTTTAGTCGACGCGCCGACGCTTAAACTGTCGCCATAACGGCAGCCGGCTCGGCAACGGCTTAGTACAGCTTGTTTGAAATATCACCGGAATTGGTTTTGTCGCGTTGCCAACGTGTGCATGTGTGTCGTGTGTGCTGTGGCAAGTTAGGCCTGCGCCCACTGACGGCGAGCGCTTAAATGCGCTAATATTACTCATATTACAAGCCGCCTTTCCTGGCGCTGCTTGTTACTGTTATTGCTGTTGTTGCCGTGCGCAAATACCGCGCCCGCTCCAACAACACATCGTCATCGTCAACATCACTGCGTTTGCGGTTGAATTTAGGGCGTTGGCGCTTTCTTCTGCTTCATTGCTTCTGCAACGCTGCAACGCGCTGTTGTTGTTGTTGCTTTCCGCTGGCAGATACATAGCATGAAATTCGATGCAACGCGTTGGTGAACGGCAAAAGCAAGTAACCGACATAAATTTGCCAAGCGAAATCAATCTGCAGCCACTACTTTTGTTTCTTGAGTGATGAGTGTTTGCCCGCCGTCGTGGGGAGGTTGGGCGTGAGTTGGCATGATTTGAGGTGTGGTTGCTTTAACTAACATTTGCTTGCAACACGCCAACGTCGATTTAAACAAGCCACTAGCGTGCGCGACGCGTCTTGGCGGAAAAGTGACTAAGCCCCAAAAAGCCGGTAACATGTTGTAGCAACAAAGCTTAAGTAGCCGGCAGCAAGCAAACAAAAAGAAACCACATTTGCCGGTAAATATTTAAACCGGTTAAACGGGCTCAACTGGCAAATATGCTCGAGCTCGTGCTTTGGCGGTCAACGCCGAAATATCGAAGCATGGAAAATAAGTAACGGACGACAGTGGCAGACTCTGCGTAGCGGTATGGATGATGCCAAGGAGGCAATGAAATAAACGAGCTCAAGCAACAGACGTTTAAGTGAATGTGAAGGCTGATGAGGCCTCAAATATTAGGCGTTAAACTGAGAAATCAGAAAATAGATGTATAATTACTGAAATGCCTAAATGAGCGAAAACTATTTGCATTTTAAAAGTGTATATTAAAACATTTAACCCAAGTCTTAAGTAAATATTGACAAAAAATGAGTTTCAATCGACAACTGTCGATGATTCCATTTATTTTTTTCTATGATCAATGAAATCCTCGAACACTACTGATTAACTAACTTTGGCTGATTATTGATTTTCTTGTTCGTAATTTTTGGAACGAACCCAGGTCACAACTGGAAAATTTACTCATGTTCATTGTTAACTGATCTTATTCACTTGAGCTCTGAACTTACAGTGTTCAGACATGACGGAGAAAAGTTGGGTTGACAGTTCTATGAACACTACATATTAACACTATATTCCGTCCGAAAAAAAATCGTCTTTATTTCGATGGATTTTGTAAGAAATGCTGATATATCTCTATGTTCTCACGTCAGGCTTCTTCGATCGAGATACAAGTAGGCTAGCTTAATCCCTGTTATGTGCGGTATTTGGTACAATAAATCAAAACAGTCTTACAGCGGCAACGTGTCTAAGAAAGTAAGAAACCCTACGATTGGGACAAGATCAACTTTGCTATTAGAGCTAGATCATCTGGATAGCAGAAGGAATGGGAGGATACATATCTACATACGAAATATTTTCCTATAACACCATTTTCATGGAAAGTTCCCGTGCGGTTTTGAAGGCGGATGAAGCCTAACGATTTTCCTTCGATATTCTTAAAGCAATATTTAAGTTAAGGTATTATTGTGTTGTCATTATGAAAATGTACCGTCTCGTGGAAAATATCTGGACGCGCTTCAGTTACGTAGACCCGACTGTTGTGAAAGCGGTTAGATATGAATATTATCACTTGTTGCCTTAAATAAGTTATCGATAAAGCTACTTTTGCATAAGGTATTTTTTAAATCTTCCTCTAAAAAAAATGAACGTCAGAAGCGAGAGTCTTTAGTACTTATCCGAAGTAATTGTGTAAAATCAAATTAAAAATTCAAAGTCATAAAATAGTTAGGTTAAGTTGAAGTACTTTCACATGGAAACCAGTTAGTTTACCATTGTTTTTTTAAATAAATAACAGTATTATCGAGCATATAAATATTTTTATAAAAGTATTCTAAAGAGGCCTCAAGTTCTTCTTCAGTTGGTATTCTGATAGTAGTAAGAAGGTTCACACGAAACAGGTCTTTGTTTCTTAGAAATACTCTTTATTGGTTTCACTGAAGAATAACCGCCGGAAAGTACTATTATTGTAAATATATTTGTATTTTTAAATTATATATATATATATATATATAATAATGGTTCATTATACATATATACGTATATATGTATATACATATGTACATATGTATGGGCAACAAATGAACCGAATTTTCCACATAGCATTTTATTCGATATCATCAATTAATACGCCCATTAGCACTGTATTAAATAAACAATCAATGCCGCCAACAACAACGAACGCGAAACATATGCCAAATTGTAATAAACAGCTAATTGAGATTAGGCAACAACAAAAGGCTAAAAGAAGAAAAGGAAATTTAAATAGTTTCTGCAATGAATCAACGAAGGCGCGCTTTTATATCTGTGTGCGTGTGTGCATTGTGCAATTTAAATTTAACGAAAAACCGCAAATATAAAAATAAATTCAATCCAATTAAATGCGCCAACAAGAGCCGAGCGTCGACAAATTGAATTAGTTACAATTTGCAATGCTAAATTGACTTTTATTGTGAAGTGATTTAAATTTAATTTAGCGCAATTTTTATGCTCCTCTGGCTTGTCGAAAACATACATACATGCATGATTTGTTATTATTTATTTATTACACATTTTTATTTTTTACTTTACACTAAGTCACCAAAATTTACAATTAAATAGTTGATTGACGATTTTCGAAATCCAACTGTCAGTGGGAAACGGATATTTCGAATTTGCTTTCGAATTTAATCACAAAAAAAGATAATGTAACTGCACATTTCTGACTTAGTGGGCATGCTGCCAAGTGTACTGTATAAGGAAGGCGCACGATGAATTGGAGGACAAACTGTTACGTAGAAAGTGCTTGAATATCTTCTAAAACAAAAAAAAAAAGAATGAATAAAAGCATCAATACAGGTGTTAAAATATACTAGTTGTCTACGTTTCGTTTCACTCCTCTCTGTTATCTTTGAAATAAGCTATCGTTTCAAAAACATTACATGTGAAAATAGTAATCAAAATTTTGGTAGCATTCAGTGCAGAGGAGCATGTGGAGAACTTGTCAAACTGGCAGTATTTTTCAAACTGCAGAAGTCTTCTAATTGATTTATACCAGTAGCTCGTTTGATTGGCCAGTCTCCGAAGTTGGACGAAACACAGATTGTAGACGAAGGCCAAATGCATAGTGAAACGTATAGCGAAGCATAGAAGAATCAAAAAAACATACTCTTCGAACATATTGTTGCATTAGAAATACTATAGATATAGTATATATATATATTTATGTTCACTAAGACGAGCTAAGCAAAAAAAAAAAAAAACAAAATAGTATTGTTAGAGTTCTAGTTGGAGTGGAAGTATAAAAATATCTAGATACAAATTTTGAAGTACATAATGTGGTTATGATAGCTTTCCGTTGAAAATTTAGAAAATATCTTCAACATTTCATAATATATTGTGAAATACCTATACTGTGCTAGCTCTCTTGTGTAAAAAACATTATAATATTATGACGAATGACGGCAGAAGGTCGGACTGAAGTATCCAACCCAGAAAACTTCAGATCTTGCATTGTCAGAGTAGTAATATACTTCAGACTTTTATCAGTACTTTAGAATTTCATTAGTTCCATTTTCAAAATGAACTGATGCATTTTAGTCTAAATAATAGTAAATACTTATGTATGTACATAGGTGGAGCATTTTTTATAAAAGTTATTTCCTACTCTTGATTTAAGTAAAGTAATTCAATAATACTATATAGGTAATGATTTTATGTTTTTCGAACACGTGTATGATCTAATTTCACTTTGTTTAAACAAAAAAAAAAAATCGAAATTCATTAAGAAATGAATTTCGGGTTTTCGAACATTCACATAATATAATTTACTCTCGATTGTAAGTAGATAATAAAAAATGTTTGAATGTTCTAATTTAAATTTTGAATTTGAAAAAATATTGAAACGAAACGAAAAATAATCAAAATTCATTAAGATAAGTGATTTTCGATTTTTCGATCATTCACATACCATACTTTAATTAACTTTCTATTTACTTTAATAATTATTAAAAAATCTAATTTAATTTTGAGTTAAAGAAAATATAAAAATTAAATAAATAAAAAAAGTAGAAACTATCGATATTTCGAATATATGCGTTATCTAATTTATGGTCCATTTAATATAAAACAAGCTATTCTCGATTTTTCAAACTTTAACAAAGCCAAATTTAACTTCGGTTCAAACAAAATATTGGAAAAATATTAATTTTTGGGTTTTCGAATATTTGCACAACTCAATTTATTTTCGATTTAAGAGTAAATTCAAAAATATACCGATTTGAGGAACATTTTATGGACCTTATTATAACTCAATTCTAAAAAAAAATTGTTTTGAGTTTTCGAACAATCGCACAATTAATTTAATTTCGTTATAAGGAAATAATTAAAAGTTTATCGATTTGAGTACGTTTTGTAGGCCTAATTTGTTCTCATTTGTAAGAAAATAATTAAATATTACAAAATATTGAATATAATTTATTTTTCGAACATTGGTGCTATCTATTGTAATATAATTTCGCTCTAAAGGAAAAAATTAATTAAAATGTTTGACAATTTCTCGAACATTTGGACAGCTTAATTTGATCTCAAGAGGAAGTTTGCTGTTTATAAAATGATAAATATTGTTTGATCTTTCGAACATTAGCGCAATCTAATTTAACTGCTATTTATTAGCTGGATTTGAATGACCGATAAGATATTTCTATTTCATCACTATTTTTGCTTATCAACATGCAACTATATATTACGTACATATTGTATAATCAGCAATTTTAGGTTGATAACACAACGTCATTCAGCTCGAATTTCGCAAAAAAGTTTATATTGAATACACGCCCACATTGAAAAGAAATTTTGAATCACAAGAAAGCACTAACTTCACTTTTTTCATTTTTGAATATTAATTGTGAAAACCCTTTTGAAATTATCGAACATATTTACAAGTATAGATATAATTTCAGCATAAATTTCGAACTTACTCGCTGCTTGTCCCTGAAACAGTTTTGAGATCGCACTCGGTTCACGTTCACGCGCCCACTGCACTAAAATGCGTGCGACTATTTGGATGTTACCTTTGCTGCCTCAGATGAAATGCCTTTTTTGCATTTTTTTTTCTGAAACGTTCTAGCGTTGCATTGCACGGAATCAATTGAGTTCGATTATCGAAATTTCAATTTGCACAAACACTGTTTTTGTACACAATTGCAGTAAGTTGGTGGTTGGTGTAAGCTTTTTATAAATTTCGAATTGACATCAATTTACAATGGGTGCACACAAACACACACTCACAGACACACATACACGTTCACAGACACCCACACACACACATGCACTCCTAGAAATTGGCTTACAACGAGTTCCTTTCATTGTTGATTAGAATTGCTTTCGAACACACTTTCTCGATTTCGAAAATATAAAAATAAATTTGCAAAAAAGTAAATAATTTCTTTCTTGTTTCGTTTTCTGTTTAGTAATATTACATCATTAAACACTTTTGCTTGAATTTTAAATTTTTTTTTTGTTTTATAAACTAACTTTATTATTAATTATTAATTTTAAAGACTGCAAAGCAGCGCTGCACTCCAGCAACAAGCATTATTTTTTATAAATTACTTTTTTATTTTAGCATATTCTTACCTTAAATCCAAATTATCGAATTACGTTTTCACTTAATTTGCGCTAAATTTTTCTTTAAACTACAAAAAAAAAATGCCAAAAATTAATTACAAATTAAAAACTGATTCAAATCGAAAATGCAGAAATCTTCATTGAAGCTATGAACGCACATTAACCGAATCCTCTGAAGCCTTTTGCTACTGCACAGCTGAACCTACGAGTGTTTCTGAACAGACTACGAAGGTTTGGTGGTGCGCTCAGCGCTTAAATACGCTGAGCAGAGCGCGCCGCAGCATTTTGCCGGCAGCTACGAGCATGAAACGGTGAGCGTGTTGCTACCGGCAAACAGTGAACAGCAAACAACCGGCAAAATAATTGCGCGGTATTTGGGAGCACAGCGCAGCGCTGCAGTGGCGTTCGTGGTGTAGTATGGGAGAGCTATTGGGTGCGGTTTGCGATTTCGAAGGTTTGGAAGATAAACGTTGCCCTGGAAGGCGAACTATTCACATATTTATACATAAATATTTATGTATCTATCCCTGTGACGTCTTATTGTTATTAGGTGTATGGTGGATCCCAACTAACAGTAGTGGCGCGCAGTTACTTTGGAGAGCGGCAGCAGCTGTCAAAGCGCTAATGAGAGCCGTTGAGCGTGTTGAGCATAGACATAAATTAACTGGCGCGTGGAAATCAATTTCTGAATTCCAGATGTGTGAAGTTTTGCACACTGAGAAAAATAAAGTAAAATTGAAATTTAATGACTAGAAAATAATAAAATTAATCAAATAAACAAAAATTGACTATCAGAAGTTTATAAATTAAATAAAAAGTCATCATCAGCGTGTCCTGCGCCAAGCGCGGTCAAAACATCGACCGACCGAGCATCATACTGCATAACTGCTTCGGTATTTATAATTAGAAATAATAACGAGTTTTATTATTATTTCTATTATTACTACTATTAATAATACATATTGTTGTATAAATGTTATGAATAATGCAATAAAATTTTTTTTAAATATTACATTAAACAACGAAAATTAATAAATGGCAACCAGATAATCGAAATTCTTTATATTAGGGATATGAGTTTTAGACTAAGGTCTAAACCAATTTTATTCATATTCAGCGCTAAATCACATTATTCAGAAAACTTGTCCAACCGGAACGGTTTAAACTCAGGTGGAAAGTCGAAAATCATTATATTATATTATTAAAGGGTGTTGGTGCTGAATTTATTAAATTTTGACATTGCTCAAGTATACTTGAAAAAATATTTTCAAGCCATTTTATAAATATGTATGTATATATCTCACATATACTCACACATTGTACATGTCGTTCATAAGGTTTGTTAGAATAACGATAATCATTATGAATGATATTTGGGAGTTGGGGTAATTCGTAGACTAAATTCATATATTTTCGACATCCATTATTGTACGTTCAGTTACTTTAGCTAAGATATTTTATATATTAATTGATATATGTATGTACATATATGGTATAAGGCCAATCGGAAGTTTGAAAAACGTATATAAGGTATGTATGTGGGAGTTAGTGGTAGTATTGACCCCATTATATAAATTTTTGGCAATACCACATACTATTTCCAGAATGAATTATTCGTGCCAGACACTATCCAATCGCATCATTGGTTCAATAATCAGACTACACATCACCAGTACGTCGCGTATTACAAAGAAAATGGAAAAATATTGTTAAAGTTTAAATTTTTACAAATCGTTTGGGAGACACATTGTAAAAAATACGTGGACTTAATTTTGATTAACAAGTGGTGGTTAGGGGAGCACTTGACGTCGTCTTGCTCATATATAAATGTCCAGAATAGAGTTTCGAGTCAGAAATACACTCGGGTTTTATATTCTCAGTCGAATAGTTTTTGAATTTTCTCTAAATATAATATATTATTCATAACACTTTGCTTAGCTTGGGATTTAGAGCTACAATGTATTCAGAGAAGTCTTAGCAGTAAACACTGAGTTGAATTTGCAATGTTTTAAAAGGCTTTAGCACGCAAAGATGTATGAAGTTTATATACATAAGGCTTTGTGTTAGCCAGAGACTTGAGAAACAAATAACGGGGAACAAAATCAAACTTGGCGACCGAATAAAGTAAAGACTAAAATAAAGCGGCCGTGCCGTCTCTCCAAGCTCAATTCCACAAATATTGACAAGGTGGTTAAAGCAGGTAAATAAAAAGTATTCTTTCAACACTCTACCAGCCTCTTACCTATTATCAAATAAAATAGTTTTCGTAAAATAAATAAGCAAAACATTAGCCGTAAGTGCTCCATTTCTTTGCATATAATTTTAGTTGTAGCTTTGTTTGTTTAATTCTAGTGCGTACGCAAATACAATATGTATAAAGCCTTAGTCGGCAACAGGTGCTGACGTGTGACGCATAACAACAACACAAATATGTAAGCTATTATTAGCTTTCAAGCTTACTCCTATTACCAATTCGTTGAAAAAGAAGAGTTTCGCTGATGACCGTTCGATATGCTCGATGAAAATATTATATTTCTTTTTAATGAAAGAGACAATATTAAAACAAAAATAATTGTATAAATCACATTTTATATATTGCCTACTACGCTGTCGGTGATTGAAGTGAAACAGCATGTACGTATATATTGCGATCATTACCGTTCATACCACCGAGGTGTCTGGTATAAACCCGGATTTTTATCCGGCAGCACTTCGCAAAATTATTTGATGAAAGTATTTCTTCTTCAGAGATTCTTCCTTTCTTGCAATACTGAGAAAAAAATATATAGACAATTTCTGGTTCTGGCTTCGGCAATATAATTAGAGGGGCAGTAATTGCCTTTAAGTCGTAGAAGATGAAGTCATTTTTGTTTTCTAATTATAATAACTGAATTAACTTTGAAAGCTTTTCAGGAAGTAAAGTCCAAACGGATAATAAATAAAAAAATATATAAAATTAATAGGTGTTGTTAGGTAGAACTAGGATGATCCATTATATCTAAACTTGCAAGATGTTGCAGCTCTTTCATCAGTTTTGTGTAAGTTTACAAAGGTGTATTGTCGAATATAAAAGAGTTACTTGTCATTTACCTCACCTCCCTACCTTAATTATCAGTTTAATTAAAAAAATGGCATTATATTGATTTATATTATTCTGGAAGTCCACGAGTTTATTTAGAACTATGCACTGTGTATAAGAACCACATAACTGACCTTACTCTCTTGAAATTTCACAAATTTCCGTCTAACTGTCATCTCTAAATTGTAGTCTCAGTAATTTTTTCAGGTTTGTAAACAGTTTTTGACATATTATCATAGTCTTGATGTTTATTTTATTATTCCGAAAAATATATCTTATTCTCATTCCAATACTTGTTTTCTAACGGTCCTATGTTAGCATCCAACTTTAAGCGTTATTAGAGGTGTTGTTTTATTTTGTGCCCCATTTGAGTAGTGGGTTTTCGGAGAGTAAGATAACATGAAGGCGCGTACACAAATTTCGAAAAATTCAATCTACCAAAATGCTACAAATGAATAGTAAAAGGCGAGAGGGACAAAGAAATGTTTATATTCGAAGTCCAAAAAAAATTTAAATATGATTTCTCTTCCTTCTAATTACTTGTACATACATATGTGCAATTGCCTAGATTTCAAGAAGTAGCTTCTTCCGTCTTATTATTCCGTACAGAAAAGGGTAGAAATGGTTTTGATACGGCCGGTTATCACACTATTTAAATGTTTGTAAATAACTGTGCATTCAAATAAACTTTTCGTTGAATTCGCTTTTAATCCATATGCTTTTTTTAAGAGCTTTGTAATAAAGCTTTGTGCTTTGTGTCATTGAGGTTTGTTGCTATTAAACGCCAGCTGTCGCTTTAGAGAGAGAAAATGATATACGCGTATATTTTTAACACGGCTATATAAATTCGCTAAGAAGCTCTAGCTTTGAAAGTAATAATTAAATCCGCAATTTTCAGTCTTAGTCAATGATGAGCTTAGCACATTGCAAATATAATATTTATCTCTTACTGACATCGTAGTGAAAAAAAAACAGCCTCTATTGCCATGACTGCCTTAGTCTTAAAGGCATTTTCCGAACTAGATGATTACTTCACAATATGGTACTGCGCGAGTGTTTTGGACTAAGCATAGTCGATGCCTTTCCAATTATTTCAAATAAGAAGGGCCCTCTATCAAGCTGCATATATTTCCAGTGTATAAGTGGTCCCGATTCCGAACAAATAAAATCGAAAAATCAAAATTATAACTTTAATAACAAGTGAAAACTGCTAATAACACGATTCACGTACGCTGAGTTAATAATAAATAAATAATAATAATTTTAGAGTTGCCATATTGACTAAACAAATATTTTTAATAACTTCAACAAGTTTAAGTTCAACAAAAGTTTCAATAAGGCTGAAATTTCAAGAAATATTAAGCTATATTTTTTGCAAGAGTTGCCACTTGTTTTTTAAATATAAATTGCTTGAGAATAAATGGTAATGAAATACAGGTAAATATTATATATTCTTTATATGTTGTACTTATAATGAATTATTAATATTATATAAATATTGGAAATACTATAAAAACTTCGTAGAATAGACTACCAACAAATATACTAATTGCAAAAGAATAACAAAGTCAGCGTTGCCACATATAATTCACTAAAATATTGAAAGTAACAGAAAAATTAAAAACGAAACATGGAAAGACATTTTAATGGTATTTGAACTTTGCTATGCAGCTCAAATATCATTATGGCGTTGCCACTGCCATTAAAATAAAAATTGTTTGAATTTTAAAATTCTTGAAATTGTATTTATATAATGCGAACAATGTTTAAAATGTTTTGAAATACTAAGTTTAAGTTAAAGTTAGTAAGGAGTTGCCAGACCTGTTAGATTTCTAAAAAATATTTTACTCAAAATTAAAAAAATATAGTAAGTGGATAAGAATATGACTTTTTGAAGTTTCCATCTGGCTTTAAATGTAAAAATAGGATACTATTTTTAATTACTACAACAATAACAAATAATAAAAAATAGCATAGTTTGTCGGCAAACAATGTTTTATGAAAAATTTTATGCTTAAATAAAATGTCGCTAGCATTTTACAACAACAACTAAACTAGCTACTATGTAGCAGACACTAACTAAATGCAAACTAAGCGTTTTATTGCTTTCATTAATTGCCGCATTGACAACAACAAAATGTGAAAAAATTGAATGCATGTGAAATGGCAAATATAAACAAAAGGAATAACTAAGTGAGAAATACGAGAACACAGGTGGAACGTAGGAATAACAACAAAAAGAAAAATTATATTAAATATACCAGCTAAAAGGAAGGAACAGCAACTAACGAGTTTGAATTGGCGCAGAATGTGTGCTAACAGAGGCGAAAGGGCAATGTGCAAGCAAAAACAAAATCCACACAAACTATGAAATAAAAGTAGAAGAAAACAAAAAATATTTTGGTATTGAAAATAAAACTGGCATAAAAACTCATATCAGCAATGACGAACCGATAACGCGACTGCCGCAGAAGATAACAATCCAAATATATAATATTAGCGATATGAGGTAGAATTTTCATAAAAAAATCCTTTTCGAAACTTGAAATCTGCGTTTGCAAATTATTTTCACAACAGTACGAGTTCAAGTGTAAGTGTATAAACGTCGTAAGAATTGCACGGGCGCGAGAACGTACACGCACAGACGGCCTGAGTAACAAACTGAAACAGTAAAGATAAATCTTTTTAAAAAAGGAATATTTTAGTAAAAAACAGTGTAAAATTGATGAATATTCGATATATGAAGTAAAAATTTTAATGAAAATATTGAAGTGGAAAAAAATATATGTAATAAAATTAATTGCCTAATTTTTTTTAATTTGACATAAAATGTTTTATAATTTCACAATCCTAATAGATATATGTAATTTTCAAAAACGATGCAGAAAGTTTAAAAATGTTTAAAAGTTCTTAGATTGTATCGTTGCCTGCGAAAATTAATTTTGTTCAGTTCTCTTTCTAAATAAAAAAGTTGTCCCTACAAGAACTTGGTGTTGATTGATCAGTTTGTATGACAGCTGTATGCTATAGTGGTCCAATCTGATCAATATGTTCGGATATTTTATTGTTGCCTTGAACAATAATTAATACCAAATTTTTTGAAGTATCTAGTATGTCAAATAAAAAGTGTTCTTTCAAAGTAAAATAGTTGATCTCATAATATAAATGTTATATATACAAAAGATATAATTTCTATTATGTAGATATGTACATTGAAAGTAGAAAAATCCCGAAATTTAGCAACTGAATTGGATAACCTAAAAAATGGTACATAAGTTTCTAGGTGAAAATGGTTACTTGACCACAAAAGACATTATTGAAGTAGAAGCCTTCATAAACGATGATCCTCTTCTATAATATATAATACATATCAACCTTAGAAAGATAACGTTATTTTATACCACTGGGTATATAACGAAACGTCGAATTGACATAACTTTTTTTAAAAGATTTTAAGAATGTCAAATACTTTAAAATTATTCATTTTTTGTCTGAGATTATTTATTTCATTATTTTTCAGTTTTATGAGGTACACATGAAGACATAAAGACCAACTGAGTAAACTGTGCGTTTGAAGTTGCTCCGAATAACATACAAATGAAAGTCTGAGAACGCAAACAAAATTAAGTACGTCATTTCGACATTTCATTATCTTACTAGGGTTAGATAGTCGAGGCGAAATTGTGTATTTTAATTTAAAATTATTCATACTAAATGGAGTTTCGAGAGCTATTACTTTATAACTACTAAATTAAAATGAAATTAAAGCTAAACTTGACTGTCACGCTTCGGTAGGTTACTTAGTTTTGTTGTTTCTTGATAATGTTGGATCAGAATTTTAAGTTAAATTTAGTGAAAGGCAGTTCGCGATTTAGAGTTTAGTAATAGATAATAGAGTATGATGAAAATTCAATGGCAGCTGTTTTTAAACTCGACATTATACCAGTCAATTTAATCTATACTATATGCTGCATCGTTCGCTACCCTTTTCTACTCGTTGTATTTGAGCTCTACTGTTATAATATCTAGCTATTCTATCTCAATTTGAATTTTGCCAGTCGTTCCTTCGGTTCGGCAAACTCCCAGCTCTTTGAATCAAATATTGATATCGAATTGCATGTGCAGGAAAATGATAATACATAGTGTTGCCTCTAGAAAACTAGCACTGAAAATAATGTTGAGATGTAATATACACCACAATTTTATTAATAATTTTCTAGTGCCTACGCAACGTACTAACTCTTCAGTATACACTAACCATTATCATTAACATGAACTGCATTTTGTTACCCTGTCCATATTGATAGATTTTAAAAGGCTACGAAAGTGACACAATTTGCAGTTTGGGCTCTAAAGCGGCCTTATTTATTGTTTTCTTTATTTGCTTTGAAATAATATTTTTTATTTATCGTTCAAACGTTGGAAATACACCTTTTGCCAATTACTTTTACATTATTCTAACGCCAGTCACGCAGCAGAGAACGTGTTTGGTGCGTTGTTGTTGTAGCTGGAACTTTGACTAATTATTTCTTGAAGTACGTATATACTTGGATACATAAATATCTATGTATACGAGTTCAACAGTTCTGGGAACTCTCGTGTTGTAAAAAAGTTAGTCTCGATGTGAAGTAGAGTTGTGTGCGTTTTTATACCCTGAATAGGGCTGATTAAGTTTGCGACGAAATTTGTTACACCTCGAAGGGAAAGTCGGAGACCCTATAATATTTATATATATACATATATAAATGATCAGCCTGTAGAGTTGAGTCAATTTAGCTATGCTCAACTGCCTGTACATATGTATATACTCGTAAGAGAGCTAGCTCCCCAGTTTTTGAGAAACCGATCTGAAATTTTGCACATGTCCGTTTCTTTTCAAGAAATCGCTTATTTGTTGGATCCGCCCATATCAAAATTAACATAAAGACCTTTTTTTACTCTTTTATGCTTTAGAAATGCACCTGTCATGGGTATTATAGCTTCGGTGCAGCCGAAGTTAGCGTTTTTACTAGTCTTATTGTAATTCTCCCATCAACATATTATAAATAGCTTTTTATATCTGTGGCACGACGAAGTTTTATTCGATATCAGTTGCTATCAGTCCGCTAGAAAAGAGTTATAAAGCTAATAATCGTAAGTAGTTTAAAAAATTACTGGCCTAAAGGGGGTTTTTTCAAAATCTTATCTATGATTGTTTATCGGAATCGTTGTGAAATGCTATTGTATAATAATTTTTTTCTGCTTATTCTGCTACACTAGATGGCCGGTTCAAAGCGATTCCCTCCTATCTTTAAGAGTTTTTACTAAAACTATGAACAAAACGTGCGGAAAATGTGCAAAAGAAAAAAAACTACTTATTTCGAAGAAAACTTTAAGCTTTTACAATTGCAAAACCTTGATATCGATATGGGAGTAGGTCTCAGAGAGTTTAAATTTAACAGAGATTACTGAACCATCAGTTGCTAACTTCCAAAGGAATATAGCAATCCTATAAGTTTTTGATAGTAGGCTGTATGCCATATAGTCCACACGAGCACTGATTCAAGCGAATATTTATACACGTAGCGATAGCAACCCTGTATCTAATATTTAGGGTATACCTGTGTTACGCATATAATTCCTTTTATTATACTTAAGAGGCGAAAGTAAGTGATTTCAAGAATACGTATTTGAGGTATTAAACGCAGAATACGCAATTTTTAACCAATTCACAAGTAAGAAAAGGCAAGTAAAAACTAACTTCGGGCAGAACCGAATATTAAGGACTAACTATATTCGAAGGCATATCGTGAAACTTGCACAAATTTGTTATGAACTTAAGGTAACTTTCCGTTATTCCGAAATTACGGACCGATCACACCTACTTTCTATCCCGATTGACATCATAATCTTATGCTTATTGCCCTCCGATTACTTATTGTATATTCGATTCGATCATATCTTTGGTTCTCTCAAATATGAGAAGGATTCCTCTGATTGCTAACGCATCTTTCATCTATTTTCTCGCTTATGCGATAAGTCGAAATAAAAGTTTGAACACATTTTCGACTTGTGGGAGCGTCTGCAAACGGCTCATTTCACCATTAATAACGACAATACTTAAAACCAAACATGGCGTCCCACTCCATAAATTTATAATCTTATCTGGACTCTACTGATAAAAACAGCTGATAGAACTTTGTCTACTGAATGCATTGAAAAGTTATTGAGTTCAGTTGGTGTAGAGAGAAGCCGGAGATACATTTTATATTTGAGGTTATATAAGTATATGGTATTTTTAGTTTGAATTCTCAAAGGAACTGCGACATTCAGCTTTCTTCCGCAAGCATATGTTAATGTGTACTCATACTATTCCACAATACTGTGGCACAGTAAAGATATTGTAAATTTTATCCGTCTCCGTTGAAATGCGCAAATTGATAAGTGAAACAATTTAAATAAAGTTAAAAAATTAAAAAGGAAAAAACAACAAAAGCATTACAATAACTTAAATACCACGTCAGGGTTCCGGCAACAAACAAAGAAAATCGGCAATAAGGCAGAGATAGCAAAGAAAACGCGTTAATTTGGTTGAAATCCAATAAAAATACTATAAAGTGTTTTTTTATATAATATATATAAAAAATTAATGCAAGCATGTGAATTTCAGTTAATAGTCAAAAAGCAATAAAAAGTGAAAAAGAGCATGAGCAGCAGACAGATCGCGAGTATTTTAAGGGTTAAAGCTTATGAGAGAATGAGCGCTAGAGGAACGCAAAAATCGACAAATTGTGAAAAATATAATAACTGTGTTCGCCAATATATTATATTAGGCATACATACAAACACTTGTAGATTCGTGTGAGTAAATCTATATTTCGGTTTCTTGCTTTTGAGTATTTCGAAAAATTCTTCGCGATATTATTAATTTGCACAGCTGTTAATGGCATAGGTATTAACTTGACAGCGTCTCTAGACTGACTTACTCTGTGTGTGTTCTCATGCCTTCTTTTAGCTGTGTCTAGCTGCTTTGTTGGTTAGTTGAGAGATTTACTCGTGGTTTATTGGTTAGTTAGTTACTTAGTCGCTTGTCTGTTGTGCTAATGACGGGAAGGAAATTATATAAATTGCTTTAATTATCCGGTTAATTCGTTGTTTTGCTCTGTTGCGTAAAAAAAAAATTAAGTGAAAGGGTTTTTTGTATGCAAAACAAAAAGAAATAATAATGTGCGAATCGTGTTACTGTTGTTTTTGTTGTTATAAAAATAATTAATTTATTTTACGGCGAATATACACAACATTGAATGAGAATTAAAATAAAATAAAAATAATTACATTAATTGAAAAAAATTTAAATTAAACGAAATTGGAATTTGGAAAATTTGAAATGCGTTTACTCGTCTCAACTATTAACCCTTAGTGATTATTACAAAAACAGTAAGTGTACGATGACGCCGGGTCTCTTAGACCAGAGTATCTTTACTAATTCCAGTAAAATGAAGGACTTTTAAATAATGTTTAAATTTAATTATAGTGGTTTTTTAAATTTACAAAATTATAAATATACAAATATGGAAATAAAAATACTGAATTCACGAGAAAAAATGTGGTGAAGACAAATAAAAATAAATAACTTAAAAAAATTTCCCAAACAAAGTGAAGTAAAATATAATATTTTTAATAACCATATAAAAATTTAAATTATTTTAATAGTAAATAATCAAATTAAACTGATGAAACAAAATTAATTAATTGAACTAAAGTATACTAAGAGGCGTTTCAGACAGCGCGTATTATGTGCGCTTTTCACTATGTCAAATTCAGTGACAGTCATTGCTAAACCACTGAAAACAGTTGTCATTCAATTTTTTATAGCAGTTTAAGATTGTTATGTATCAAACTTGTGCTTGCCAAGTATTTACAGTTTATTTTTATTTGTCCGATGTGGTAGAAAAGCATGTAAAAAGTTGTCCAATTTTTAATTCAATAAGTTGATTTTTTTGTCATTGAATGTGACATACTCAAATTCCCGCTTTAGTAAAGACAGTTTGCTAATTCGTCAAAATAATATGCACTCTAAAGCACTTAAGAATAAATGTATATTATATGTTTTCATTAATATTTTGTTATACGTGAAAAAAACTTGAAACTTGTTAAATCGTTTTTGGCATAATTTTGACAAAGATATTTATTTTTATTTTGAGTAATTCCAAATAAGTAAATTTAATTTATATTTCAAATTTTAAGATGTAGACATTTATTAATAAAATATAAAAATATGATTTAAATACATAAAAATATCTATAAACTAATACTAATATTTTAAAAATTGGTAGTGTTTTTAGTTGAAGAATATTTCTTTTTAAATTAAAATACATAGTAAAAAAATATAGTTAATTATCTCCTAAAATCATGAGATTCGACGAAAATATAAACAGCAAGAAAAAACGTTAATAATAAATACGCTTCACGAATACAACAGGTTCCTTATAAGAACTTCATTTCTATCGGTCAGTTTATGTGACAATTATATGCACAGTGAGTCGAACTGAACTAACAACATTACTAATGAAAATTTTCGCGAAGATATTAAGTCAAATGAAAAAGTTTTCCATACAAAAACTTGTTTCTGATCGTTCAGTTTGTTTGCAGCTATATGTTATAGTGGTCCAATATCGCCAAAATGTCGGTTTCGACAAATGAACAGCTTCTTAAGAAGAAAAGGACGTGTGCAAAATTTTAGATAGATACCTTAAAAACTGAGGAACTACTTCGCGCATATACAGACAGACAGGCGGACACGGCTTAATCGATTCAGCTCATCATTCTGATCATTATATGTATATACATATATATTTTATTGCGTCTCTGACATTTTCTTCTGAGTATTACAAACTTTGCATCAAACTTAATATAACCTGTTCAGGGTATAAAAATTATTAAATAATATAAACTGTAAAAAAGTGATGACAAATACAAATTTTTTTCTTCGCAAAATGTTTACAAAACTCTGGTCCTAAACTTATTTTACTCTTTTCAAAAAATATATATCAATAATAGAGTATAAAATACGTTGATATTGATGTTCTTATTTAGAAAACAAAAATTTTTTTATATTATAATTTGAAGTTTTAAATTTGTTGCATATTACTAAATTTATAAAAAAAAATGTCTAAAAAGTACTACTGTGTTATATTCATCACATTGGAATTTCCAACTAACTGATAACAGTGCCAAAAATATGTACAAAATAGAATTAAGCACATTATAAATTATTATTTTTTTGATGAAATTATTTATATACCCACATATATGTATGTCTACATCTAAAATATACAAAACCATATTGTGTGAAAAATTAATTACTCATCTGTGGCAACGATTACATTGGCCGTGACAAAAATATTAGCAAGGTCTGAAAGTGTGAAAATGTGGAAATTCTATTCGTGAAGTGTACGAAAGCCAAATATACGATAAGTTTGTGGAATTAACTAAACTGTTGTGGACAACAACAACAATAGCCACAGTGATATTGGTAAAAACAAGTGTTTTGACAAATCCGCAATAATTCTCTATTTTTAGCAGCGACGACAAACAAAGAGAGACATAAACAAAACGTAAACTCATAAAACAAAGATAAAGTGAAATTGAAAAGAGTGAAAGAGCGCATACAACTACAACAAAATTTTGTTAACAAAAGTGTTGTTATTAAAAAATTATTAATAAATAATAATAGAGAGAGAGAGAGAGAAAAGAGATTGAGTGGCAAAGCGATCAAAGTGTCGCACTGTGTAAGCAAAGCGAACTCTCTAGTGATACTGAGTGTGGGTGGCACGTCCAAGATAAGCGCGTCTGCTCAACGCTTACCGACTACTCGCTCCATTGAAAAATGGCTGATGAGAGCGCCATCGACAGTCCGCGTCCGTTTCGACGCGAGCGCAATCTGAGTAATCGCAATTTCGCCAAACGCCGTTCCAGCCGACGTACCAGCGTCGAGAGTCACAGCTCGGTGGAGTCGTTTAATCTAAGTGCAGCTGAGAGTGTAAACAACGCTAGCTCAGTGAGCTCTGTGCATGAGCACAGTTCCAGCGCTAGCGCCAGTGGCAGTCACAATCACAGTACGTCGACCAGCAGTGGCAGTAGTGGTTCACATTCGCTTAGTGTCGCTAGTAGTCAACTGGATTATTCCTACTCGGTGCAATCGGATACGGAAAGTGCATTTTATCGCGCCTCTACGCGTAGAATGGTGCCACCACCGTTACCCATAACTGGGCCGCCGCTTGATAACGATGAGTCTACAACTACAACAACGATAGCAACAACAACAAGCGAGGACGATGCACAGCCACAAACGCCTGATCCCGCGTTGTTAGGCGTGCGACAGAAAGTTAATCGTTTCGAGACATTGACAGCCGAACAGCGTATTCTCTTTAAAACGGGACGTCACCAGCTACGTCAACAACACCAACAATATAATTCGCATACAGGTGCAGCAAAAACCACTGGTGTGGGTGGCATTTCAGTCGCCCCGCCTGGTTTATGGCGTGTCTTTCCGCCTGCTACGCGTCGTTCCACACCCGAAACGGATAGCTCGGTGGCCAGTCGTCAGTCGGCAGTTAGCTCATTTCACACCTCCATCGATGAGGAACGCTCCGTGGACGATGTGGATGAGATCTCCGATTATGCTGAGGATGCGCACGCAGATGCTGTTGCTGAGGCTGAGTATGCTGTGCCAGAGGAAGCGCACGAATTGCGTGAAGATGCGGTGCCATCGCCGGTGCCTGGCTATATGCCGCCCACGGGGGAAGAGCAATTGGTGACAGCGGGCGTTGTGGAGTTGAATATAGCTGATTTCGGTAAGGTGGAGAAGGTGCGTCGCGCTGTCAGCGATGATTATGCACGCACAATGCCGAAGGCTCGCGGAAAGAAGCTGTCTGCAGAAGTTGAGTCTGGCGCAAAACCAACGTCAAAAGATTTTCCGAGGTGAGTGGATCCTTTTTTTCGAATTTCTATTGTTACTTTAGCGGCCGAAAAGTCTTTTGAAACAGATTGTTTCAAATTAAGTATAAAGGGACTATAAAGAAGAAGAAGAGTAGTTGTATTAAACTTTGTTTACTAAGAGTAAAACGATAACAGCCAACCAAAATGAGAGCAACAGCTTAGCTAAAGATGTGAAAAGTTTTTGGTGCCATTATATCTTTTCCCGGTGAAATATTATTATCGGGAATAGTTGGGTCCGCATAGAGAAACGATAAAAACTCTAGTTCTGAGTAAAAACTAAACATTTTGTATTCAAAGACCCATTCGTTATTACGTAACTCTCGTATGTAGATGCATATTTCATTATTTTGCATAAACTTCTGTCTGGGTCAAATGAATTTATAGACGTTCACAGTGTTAGTTTCGACAGATGTATTCTCATTTACCATGTATTATAGATACATATGTATAAACATATTTTTGTTCGAAGACTCGAATTACGCTGATATGAGAAGTCCAAGTTCTTTTTATCAGATAATCTTAAGAATACACCTCTAATCCTTATTAGTACTTATTTATTACTAAATCTTTCTTTAAGCTCCTTGATATTAGCATTGAATTAATAGTTTTTGCCAATTGTAGACTATTCAAAGTAATTTCTAATTCCTAGTAGGTGGCTCTTCAAAGGTGTGTATAGTGAATGAAGCTGTTAAGTTTAGAGTGGGTTATTTTATGGCAACTTCGAAAGCTTAGAAGAAATGAGCCCAACACTCACTCAAGCTCTGGTAGAACTCAATGACTGCGAAAGGTTTAAGTATTTCTTTGTGTTTTGTGCCCTTCAATTCTTCTTGTTTGTAGCAGCTGAGAAAGCTTTATATACTAACCTAACCTAACATATTCTTACTTTATAGCTTGATGATTAATATCTGATGGCTGACTGGTGTCTATAAACTAGTTCAAGCACTTTATTTTGAAATTTAAATGTTTGTACTTTTATAAATCGTCTAAACTAAATGAATTTTTCATTCTCGGTGGGATTATAGCTTGATAAGTTATATTGTTTGATTGATTGATTTTTATACTAGTTCAATATTTTTTTTTTTATTTACTTTACAGTTACATTTTCGATAGGTAGATTTAATTTTATAATTTTTTTTAGCCAAAGCAGACAATTTGTTTACAACTATATACATATATATGTGTATATGTTAATACATTTTTGAAATGTGTTTTCCTTTTAAGTGCTACTTTAAACTTTGGGCAGTGACCGCGTTTTATAGTTTTGTGTCCAAAACATGCCGATATGCTTCTGTTTTTAAGGTGTTCGCTGTGACACAAGTGGTTTTGATTTTGGCGGTCATCGCATTACAGCGATAAAAACTGAAATGCTGAAACAATTAAAACGGCAAAACACTTGTTGCGCTAACTTTGTTGTTTACGTTTCAGTTCGAAAGCAATAAAATTATTACCACACTTTCTAAACATAAGGTATCGGTATTTACATGTATTTATTTACATATATATGTATGTGCTTATAAGCACTAACAGCGAATTTGTTGTAAAGCCTTATTAGTCATAAACTTATTTTTAAACATGAAATTTACCTTCAACAGCTTAAACTGTTTTCAATCGCTTCAGTGCGGCTTGTAACAGTGTAATTAGCATAACATTATAATTTTTGCAGTGAACTGTTAATGAATGAACACTGCTTTAAGCATTGCTGTTAACGATTTTAAATGTTCTCTGCAGCAACAGAGGCATAACATAGACGGTTGCGCTTGGTTCATACAAATGCTGAGCTATTGAGGATAACATTTTATTTTATTTTATATAAAGGAGGACTCAAAATGAAAATTTGTTTCACTAAAGCTCGCAGCTAAGTGTTTTGGTTATTGCTGTTCGTGAAAATGTTTGATTAATTATATAGAAGTGTATATAATTTTCTTCAGTCAAATTTTTTGTTTGTTTACTTACTGCTGTATGCGGTTTACGAGCCTAAACCGGTTAGACAAGTTGTTGTGTTTATTATTTTGTTAACTTTTGATTTGTTTTGATTTATATTGTTCGAAATTTTTTACTTTTAATCCTCTATGCTGTGGGTTGATATGGTTTTTAAGTCATTTTTACAGTGTCGAAAAAACAATTCAAAATATTTAGAAAACAATAAACATGAGATATGAAATTGTTTCAAAAATTTATTTCAACTCTAACTGTCTACAAACTATTATTTCCTTTCGTGTATCAAACTTTTTTACAAGAGGGTATGCAGCAGAATCACTTAAAAATAAATCAACCGATTTTGATGAAATTTCAAGAAAACCTCAGGGCATGTTCAAAAACATACATTTTAATACAAAAGTAAAGCACAAAAAATAAATCTGGAACTGTCACTTATTAACTTAATATTTAAATAAAGAAAATTCTTTAATCGAAAATAAAAAAACGATGTTTTGCCAAGTTAAGTTGCCAGTTTTACTGTCTACCGCCAAGTTGACATCTAATTCAGCAAACCAGTGCTTAAATTAACTGTCTTTTATATATCTGTTTTATTAAATTCACAGCTGGTTTGCTTGCTTAGATTTTAGTGCCAATCATCTTTACTCAGTTCGTTTAGCTTAAAGTTGATAGAAAATGTTTTGTTTAAATTTTATGCGTACAAAGCTTAGTATGTTGAATTGTGAATTTTCAATTGAGTATTTTGTTCACGAGAAATGTATTTAACGTGCAGTAATAATAATATCTCATGCCCACGTGGGCGTATACGTAACCGACAGGCGACGTTGACACTTTGTTTACACAGCGCTTAAGGCCCTGCCTAATTAGCGCTATAAGCGAGTGCAAATAAAAAGTTTGTCTTCTTCAATGTATGTGTTGCAATATGTGTGTACATTAATACAACAATATGTACATATGGAAATATGGAGAAGAGAAAAATGAACAAAAAATATATATTTTTTTGATTTTTTAACTATGAGAACTTTTTGCTTTAATTTTTTCGTATATTTCCAAAATTAATTTTTTATATGATATCAAACAAATTTTAAAGACTGATTAATTAGTTAGCAGTTACAAAAAATATAATCAAAATTTAAATTTAAATTTCCAAAAAAAAAAAAATAATTTTTAAAAATATATGCATACATACATATTTATGTTTAAATACAATATATATATATATATATATATATAATTTTAAATGATAATAACGAAATTTATTTATAAGGAAAACATACATTTAAAAAAAATATACATATTAAAACTGGGTAAAAATTCCGAAAAATTTATTGTTTACTCTCTTGTTTATTGTTATTAGAAATATTGTTTTTTTATGAAAATTGTTTAAAACAATTATTAAATACGACCAAAAATATTCGTATAAAAAATAGCAAAATGGGGCATCCGAAGTCTTGTTTATGTTTAATTTAAAAAAATTCTAATTAAAAAAATTCTACAATTTGTACTCTTTTGTCGCTCTTAATATCTAGCATATCGGTGTTAGTTTAACATTTTTTATAGCTTTAAGCCTTTATATAGCTTTTTGAGAAATTAAATTAGTTAACTCTTTCGTAAACGAGCCTGAAAGTTTATTCTTAACTGCTAGAGCAGTCTAACTCTGCCGAGCTTATTTAGCTGATACTTTGATTGTTGAAATGTATAACAGGAGCTATAGTATTAAGGAGTTTGTAACCTATAACAGGCGAAAAATACTACGAATGCATTTGGAGAGAATATAGAGCGCACTATAGTTCTGGTGCTGTTATAGAATTTAATAAACTTATTTTTAATTTTTTTTTTTTAAATTTTGTACAAGAATTTTATTAATTTTTAATATCGATATATCTTGCATAATTTACCTTAAATGTTTAACAAAATCATAAGCACCAAACAGTACCTTATATATACTCTAAACGTATAACCAGCTATAAATAACCTTAACCTATATTTTACAGCACTTATGATAAGATTTTTTGCTTCTAGAGGAGCAGTCATCAAAACACTTTTTACAGCATGTTATATGTCAGTCTAACTGTACACCATTTGTTATTCTTTAGTTATCAAGTTTGCTCGTCACGTTCTTATAGGTGTGTGTTGCGCAGATTACAACCCTAGGTACACAGAAGATAATTTTTACAAAGCAAATTTAACGATAAAACAAAAGATATCAAATTATCTAGGAAAAATACCCCAGACAATCGAAATTCTATATTAAGAGCTTTTAAAATGTAAAAAGTGCTACTGGCTAATATGAAGTAGTAGTCTAAAGACACTTCAAAGTGATAAAATTATGACTCAGTGCTGGTGGATAGCCATTTTATTTCCCTGCTTTCTTTGACATTGACATGTGAAATCAACAAAATAGTTATTCGGTCAATGTTTTAGAGTATGTGTATAGCTTATTAAAGTGGTATAACTCGTGATGAGCTATCTATTTTACATTATTTTAGTTCATATAACTTCTACCAGTTTTTTGTTCGACTCGTCAAAGTCTTGGTTAGTTCTCTGCAAATTTTGTTAAATCGAATACAACTTACGAAAGCAGCAACAAACTGATCCGATTTTAACAATTTAGGTGGTATAATCACTTCCTACTTCATATCTTTTGCATTATACCCGTCTATTTGGTTTATACCAGTCGATTGTTCGATTAGTCACTCCGCTAAAACGCATACAACTCATGTTTCTTAACTTAGTTTACTGCTATGTATTCAGCGGTATTTTAAAATATTTATAAGTAAAGATATAGTGTGAATAAAATTTGCGCTTTATTCTGTACTTCTTTTTTTTGCTATATTTCAGCTCTGTTCTCTTTTCGAAAAATAGCTTTCTAGGCTTTTTCTTTCTGTATATACCAGTTATATAGTCGTTTGTTTAATGCGTTAATCGCCAATGTTTGCCAAAACAATGATAGCAAATAAATCTAAATCATTATTTCTTAAGTACATATAAGAAAAATAACAACAGCTACAACAATATTATTAAATAATATTTATTTACATAGCTACTTCCTTAACAATGCTGTTATTTAACATTTAACCGCAAAATTAGTTCTGCATACATATATTTTAAAGAGTACACATATATAGGTGCGAATATGTTTGCCCTGCCTTGCGGAGGCGGTAAATTATTTGTCGGCAGCCTTTTATGGCACGACACAAACAATTAGCGCTTTTGGACATAAAATGATAAATGAATTTGAATTCGTAGAACTGATAAGCGTGTGTAAACCATTGATAAATTAGCGCAAACAGAAATATATCCATGCAAATATGATGGTGCATATATAGGCACATTTAAGGAAGGGACTGACGATGCATCTTAGTATCAAAAAATAAGATGTTTGATGCAAACTATTGTATTCATTGTTATAAATTTGTTGTATTGACTCATAAATGTATATGTTGTTTCATAAGTAATAAATTGCAAATATCTCCTCATAACAAAATCATCATTATATACGTATCACTAAGTTTTCATAAAGAGCTTTTCCTATATCGAGCTAAGTAGTTGTTGAAATAAAAATTCAGTAGTGAAAATCCAACTCATTCTGGCTCTGCAGTTTCTTTTTGAATATTGGCCTGTAAACCATTTCGGTTGCGAAATCTGTAGCCCGCATAGAGGCTCTTTAAATGTCGGTTTACTGTTGGGAATATTTATACTTGTAGTAAATTTTGCAATCGATAAACTTAGACCCGCTACAGTCTTCAAGTATTAATTGTATTTCCAATCGGCACTGGCAACAAGCTATTTAAGTATATAAAGAGTCAGCTGAGAACCCTTATACGCCCGATCCTTTGGCCTTTATACACTCATTTCCATGGCTATTGCAATGCTCTCAAATCCAGCAGAGTGTTGTTACTTGGTTACCAGCGGATATGTTCTTAAAGCTCCTTTGCTGAGCTGATTAACTGTTTGTAAGGTTAACTGTAATTTTAGACGCAGTCAAACACAAACCTCTAACATAGTCTGCTTTTACAGCAACTCCATTTTTATCAATCACACATAAGTCACGTGCTTTTTCATTGTATGTGTACGTGCGAGATATGTTATAAATAATTTTTTGACAATTATTTGTACTGGTTGAGTACTAGTACAAATAATGGTATTGACCTATATTATTTTGTATCTTTGTATCGACATAGATCAATATATAGGTTCGTATATATATATATGAATATAACTTCTATTAAAAAATAATTAGAGACAACAACGTAAAATGACACAGTTAAAAGAAAGCTATGACGATAAAATGCTTTTTATTGCTCAATTTATCACATTGACTGAAACTCAATGCCAGAGTGACTCAATGTAATGCTACCCACTGTACCTATATACATACCAGATGTATACATATATTGTAAATATTTTGCATTGACACAGCTGATCTATACCGTTCGACAAGTATGTCTACAAAAGTAATATAATTTGCGATTATTTCAAACATACAGGCACCATATAAACAGTTGTTTCATTACAACCAGTCCACGAGCACCCATATTATCGCTCATTAATGCTATATGTCTGATCAGTTGTGAATGCAAAAAATCGCATCGACACGTAACGGGTTATCGCACAAGCGCAAGCCGTAAAATTGCTGTTGTCGGTGGGTGTGAAAAATGATGAAAAACAATAGAAGTGATTTTAGATTGTAGAGGCGAAGTTGGATGTAAAGGAAAGGGGAAAAGAGGCAGAATAAAATTAGCACTATAATTAAATATATTTTGGTATACATGTACATATGTATGTACATCTGTATGAATAATTTATGACCACTTCCGGCTTGCTCATATATTTTAGCTGTATTAGATTCGCCAGACTTTAGAGAGTGGCGGATCGAACGAAAAACTAATATAATTAAAAAGAATGCGAGTAGCAAGCGGTTGAGGAATGTGATCTTTTCATACATTTCTGCAAATAATTAAAGTGATTAGCTTGTTAAAAAATATTTGAAAAGAAAGTAAAATTTAGCAAGCTGAGAAATGGCAAATCCATGACGGCTGAATTGAATTGGCGATTGAGAATTTACAAGTATCTTTCTAAAATGCTTATTCATAATGAAAACGGCAGTTACTTAAGAAATTGGATGGATTGAATGGATTAAAATTTTCGAAAATAAGTATTGAAAACTGGTATAAGTTCAAATATATATTTAGTGTGACTATCCTCTGTTGATTTTGAAATTGTAGCTTGCTATTTACTTGTACTTGTATGAACTTTGTCAATGTTTTTTTAGGTTCTAAGTAGTTACTAGTCTGGAAAAAACTGGCAATACGCAAAGAATAGAAATACTTGTTTTGACGTTAAAAATTTGAAAAAAGGAAGAATCAAGTTTATAAAGCCTTATTTAAGGGGATATAGAGTTATTTATGTATACAGCACCAATTTTGCTCAATACCATGAGATTTAGTTGCTATATTCTGGTATTTAGATACTTAGCAGCTATGCCGGATTGGGTATCTGATGACATTTAAAGGTCTGATACCAAGTGTAAAGAGCTAACCATTCACAGAGAAAATTATTGGCTGTTTTCTATTTCCACCGTGTTCATAGCTGTCTTTTTTTAATTAGTTGGACTACGTATAGTTTTTGGATTCATAATTTTTTAAGCTTTGTTCGTGCGTAAGTTCTTTCCTTTCTATCTCTGTTAATTGACTTCAATTATGCTTATCCTGCAGCTTCCATCAACACATAGAACTAACTTTTTGAGGTTCCTAACCGAGGTTTCGACGCCAGGGGGTACATTTTCAGTTCCTCAGGAAAAATATGGATCATAGAATTATTTTCTTGCGTAAATGACTTTATGGCAGTTTTATGTGATATTTTCCTTTCTCTATACTTCCAGTGTTTTTATTAAAGTTCTGCTGGTTATCTCAATACCTAACAGTTTCTTAAAGAGAGTATTGACCTATATAGGTATAAATAAATTTAGTTATTTCGAGAATACATAGATCAATAGTTCATTTGATATAATGATATTCTCGCATAAAATCTTTAGCCGTTCATGAGGAACCTTCTTTTGAAAAAATGTATTAAGCTTGACGCTTGTTTCTTATATTAATTGAATTTGAAACTATTATACAAGCCAAAAATAAATATTTAATTGCTCGCAAAAGATATAAATGTACATATATATATATATATCCATGTTCGTATCTAGTTGAATAAATAACTTGTCAGACATCCACGCTTAAGTAAATAAATATATGTGTGTATATGTAATGTATATGTAATGTATGTACTTTAGTAATAGAATATTGGTGTGGCCACTAGCTGTTTTCGTTATCAGTGACGCCAACGGCTTTGTTATAAGTAGTGGCTGACTCACAGTTTTGAAATATTATATACGATAACATACATACAGATTTACACACACACAAAGTTCAATGATAGCGAAAAATCGCGAAGGCAGCAAAGCGCGAGAAATTTGTAGTTTGATACCGATTGACAAAATGAATAGCCTTGCGTGCATGGGTTTTAAGCTTATATTTTTCTATTGTAATTGATGATATGGGATTTCCATCGAATGATAGATATTTACATACACATTTTTTCGGAGAACTAATTATTTTTATAAAACAATGAAATATACTTGTATATATATATATATATATATAAATAAATATATGTATACGTGTATATGGAACCAAACATTCGCGAAGTCTTGACCTGTGTATCTCACGAGAAACTTATAACAGGTATGCTTATTGAATATATCCTCGTCGGAACACATAATCTTTGTTGCTAGTAAATGATTTTGGACATTTCTTATATTTTCAGTAATTCTAAATTTCGTAGACAAATCCTGGAATAAGGATTCTCTTTATCTTCTTTGTTATTGTTATATAATAAGCAGGCATAAGTTTGATTAGCGCTGTTAAAGATATGCATGTTTTATGTTCTTCGTTGAGAGCAAATACAACAAAAAAATGTACAACAACTTGTTTTGTTGTCAACTTGATTTAAATTCTTGTCTAGGAAGTATAGGTGACCAATCAATCACAAAAATGTTACTCATACGCCATGGTTTACTGCCACATTTACAGACTGGCTACCAACAGAGCGACACTATTTAACTTATTTTCAAAATATTTTTATTTCAATAAATTGTCTAATTCTAATATATCTTTTACTCTGCTTATTTTCAGAAATTATCGTTCAGTGCCTCGTCCCAAGACAGAAATTATTGGTACCAAAAATCATGCGGTTGTTGACAAATGTAAATCGCTCTATCAGCCAAAGTAAGTCCGATAAAATATAAAAATAGAAATCAATGAATGTATTAATAAATTAAAATGCGATCTGTGTAAATTTTTACTAATTTCTAAAGATAAGCTCAAGCAAAATGTTTGCGTCGCGGGGTATGCGTCACGGGCATTTGAGTGACATTTGATATTTTAACAAAAAAATAATTTTTGATAAAAACAACTTACAACAACAGCACAAAACTAGGCGGTATAACTACACAAAAAAAAAGCTTCTCAGAAGCAATTTATATCAAAGAAATTCTAATTACTTTTATATAATAAAAAGAAATTTGCCCTTATCGGGAAGAGTCCGCCTAATTTTTTATAATTACACTTTACGCTTTGTTATTTAAAATATTTAATACATTTTACTGCACTTTCTTCATAGTGACGAGCTTGAGGAGGAAGCTGAGGCTGAGTTGCGCGATAAGAGCTCACAACACATAAAACCCATACTCGAGGAGCTGATAAAAACGGAGGAAACATATGTGGAGAATTTACGTATCGGCTTAGAGAATTATGGGAATATATTTGCGCGGAAAGATTTACCCATCGGTTTGCGTGGCAAAAAATATGTTTTGCTTGGTAATATCGCACAGATCTACGAATTTCATGCCGAGGAGTTTTTACCAATGTTACATACATATAAAAGGGATCTGAAGCGATTATTCGATGAATTTCAGCATTATATTGATGTAAGTGTTGCAATGGTTAGAGAGATATATACAATACATATGAATGTATGTAAGGAAATTCTTAATACACACATTTTTTAGATACTCATTAAATGCAAATTAGTTTTAGACAAGTTAAAACTAGAAATTAAATAAATAATAATATTGGGAAACCTCGGGCTATAATTTTACCATGGAAAAATTTTACATAAATCTTGACAACCCTTCAGAGGAGTTAAACTTGTGAAAGCCATCTTTTGTCTAATTGTAACCGAACGCTCTCAGTAAATTCTGGTACAAGTTCGATCGAATTTATTAAAAAAACCATATTATTGTCAACTATGCAATAATATATAAATTGGCAGCTTCCAAATGCGAAACATTCTTTCTTTAATTACTCTTTCTTAATCTAATTATTATTTGATCCTTTTGTTTTATAATTGGTTTTTGACCTAAAAGGGTTATTATCGTCACACTACTCAGAAAGTAGCAACAAAAGGTGCTGGGAGTGAGTGATAGTAATGATATTTTTTTGCGACTTGCGGTTGTAAAGCTCTACTGGCCCTGAGTGAATTGCAAGAAGTCTTATGAGCGCCTTGCCCTGAGAGCTTTTATAGTCCGATTTTTATCGAGGAAATAAGACTAAAAATGCTTCGTAAACTTAGTACTTCATTCTTTTGCGAGATTTACATACTTACTACATCTTGAAAATTAGTTCGGCGGGGGGCTTTCCTGGAAAGGAAATAAGTCGCCTTAGCAGATTTTTTATGGGCTCAAGAAGCTAAATCGATAGACATATGAATATTTGTTATTTACAGTGATCATGAAATACGATTATACATGTGGGATCTAACGATCAGCCTCAAAATCTGATATAACCCAACTCAGCAAAAAGTAAAAAATAAACATAAAAGTTTGATCTCTTTTAGTCTAAATCTTATAGAAATCCTGTCTTAGGTCATTCGCTATAAGATCTTAGCTATCATAAAATACAGCTTAGAGAACATAGCACTAGCTACCTAGTTTTTATGGTCGAAGTCTTTCAATGAAATTATTCTGTCTACTATCTTAAATATCTTTAACACCAGCTGTGGGCTTTGGATCCCTTTTGCGGCTTTCATACGATATCAAAATCAATGAATGAGGTTAGGTTTTAAAGATGGAGATCAGGGCCACATGACAATCTTAATTCAAATAAGTTTTGTTTGATTATATTTTCTGAAAATAAAAACCTAAATATAAACTTTTGTAAATGCACAAAGTACGTAATTTATATTAAAACGCTATTGTGAATGGTTTCTATGTCAAAGTAATCTAACTAACACAATTAAAAATATCTTTATTTATTGCACACATTTTAATTAAAATAACTTTTTTATAATTTTTTGCAGAAAAATTCCTTCTACTGCTACGTCATATTCACAATGAACAAGCAACGCTCACTCAAATTATGTGATACATATAAAAATTATTTTAAGGTATGAACTTCATATATTTATAATAAAAATGCGAGTTAATGCATTTAACTATTTTTATAGCGCATACAAAACGAATTGGATGATAAGTTGGGTATAAATAGTTTCCTGGTACAGCCCATACAACGGATGGCGCGATATCCGCTGCTGCTGCAACAATTTATCACGGTGAGTTGGTGAAAAGAAAAAAATTTATATATAACATAACGGGAATTTTAGAGTGATTGTGAGAAATATATATAAAAAAATTGTTATGAAACTCAAAAAAATAAATTTTAACGCTCTTAAAACTTATCATGGTTTTCTAACCTCAATTTATACACTTAAAACTTGTCATGATTTTCTAACCTCAATTTATACACTAACATTCACTGGTTGTTTTCAAATTTCTCTTACTTTCATACTCACAGACTCTCTTCAAGCATCGTGACTTCGAGATTAAGCCCTTACTTGAGTCATGCTGTCGTCTGGAGAAGAAAATGCGCACTTTGCTGACCACAACCAACGAATCCGAAGTGATTAACGACATTGTCGAGTGCAATGAGGTGAGAATTGGCGTGACAACTGTCACACGCATATTTATCACTTCAATCATAACTGAAATATTTTTTACTTTCTCTTTCTCCCACCTACAACTAGTTCAACGTTTTTCATCAGGGCAAATTCCGTAAAGTCAGCGATTTTTCGATTATAGATCACACGCTCCGACGCACCTATCGCGGTAAGGTCTTCATATTCGACAAATGCATCATCTATACCGAGATTAAGGGCAAACACTTGATCTTTCATGGCCGCTATCCGTGCGAGCATATCGGCATTGTGGCGAAAACGAAGCACTTCACGTTATTCTATGAGCGTCGTAAGCAGCAAGAGTGCGATTTCCAAGCTGAACCGCCAGTGATCGAAACGTGGCTGGAGCTGATACGCGATATGATCAGCTCGTATGTGATGGAGGAGCGTCAAAAGCTGCAGGATCGTTATGCGCGCGAAGGCGAACAGCAATACCGTAAGCCAGTGAGTTTAACGCTGTTTCGTGATTCGAATCGTTTTAGTTCGGACAGCGGTATAGGCAATATATGGGTGCTGCCGAAACCGGAGGCAGAGTCGGAAGCGTCGAGTAATCGCACGACGTGGTACGCAGTGAATTGAAAGGAAGCGTTGTGTTTGAACGTATGGAATATGTATAAATTACAAGGATATTGTTCGTTTGTGGCTACCGAAGTGTAGTCGGTTGCAATATTGGACTCAACAGTGCCAGCCAGATATATTATTATATCTACACTAAGCAAAACTTTTAATTATTGACGAACGGAGCGCAATATGCCTTTACTTTATGGTACTAGAGCTTTTGTGGCTTTAGTGTGGCCATATTTTTATTAATTTAAATATATAAGCAATAAAATGTGTTTCGTACACCAATTTATTCTAGTTAAGCTAAAGATTTTAAATTAGCTTAGAATTTTACAAAATTATTCTTAACGATTTATATAATTTACATGCATTTGTATATGCATAATATTATAAGGTCTAGTGTATATAATTAAGCATATTGGCTGTAAATTTACATACAATTTAAAGAAATAGTTGGTTTTAGTCTAAAACACAAAATTTCACTGAAGAATGCCAAAAATATTTAAGCTTTTTTAAGCTTCTTAAAAGCTTTATTTAGCTTAGAGTATATTAAATATTTATATTTAGTCTTACAAATCATTATATATTTTCATAATGAATAAATAAAAACTAAATAATTAACAAAAATTTATTTATTTAAAAAAAAAAGATAATAAAAAAATTGAATTAATTTTACAGTAGTTTTTACCTAGAATATTATAGAGAATTTGAAAAAAAAAATTTACAATACGTATGTAAATAAATGTTTATATTTACAGTGGGAATTTTTTGCTTCCAGCTCTAGTAGAAATATATTGAAAATATTTAAAGAAAATAAGTTTTTAGATTGATAAATACCAACATATAACAATATATATAATAATAAAATATTGACATAATAATAATAAATAATTACTATATATTAACTTTAGAAATTATTTTCAAAAAAGCGTTTACTTATAAAATTAAAGAAAACTTACAAAAATTATATATGGTAGTTTTACTTACCGAATTTGTTTATTTACAGAATTGGTAGAAATTTTTAAAAAAATTTAAAGAAAATAATATAATATAAAATATTAAAAAAAAATATACATATATATATTTTATTGAAATCGAAATAATTTGTAGGCAAATAATAAAAACTAAACATTGAGCTGGTAGTAGCACTCAAATAAAAAATAATTTTATTAAGAAAAACTTTTCAATATTTAATTTACACGAATTTTAACAATTTAATTAATAAAAAATAAATTATTCAATATTCGGAGTCATAATATTAGTAACATTATTATTATTTTGGGAAATAGCTACCTCACCTTTTGGAACAGTATCTCCTTTCAATTGAACAATACAATTGAAATTAGGTATTTCAATTGGATTATCAATGGTAATTAGTTTCCACTTATCTTGGCTGGAGATTTCAACATCAACTTCGCTGATAAAACATCAGAGTGGTTGAAAGAATGAAAAAAATTCACATAAAACTTAGGGACCACCATTGACGCGGTATTTTTCAGATATATAGAGAATATCAAGTCTCAAACTTAGTTACCATAAACCTTTATTTTCAATGATAAATATACCTGAATAACCTAGATGTAATGTAAGATAATAAAAATATTTTAAATAATATTTATTAACTTCTCCTTTCAATAAAAGAAAAAAAATTCTTTCTTATCGATCCCCACGTTCAAAAAGCGTAACTTGAATTAATATCAAAGAAAAAAAAATGCATAAAAAATAAATAAATTATTATAATTTCATAAGTTGGTAAAAAATGATATGCAATAGCTGTACTGCGGCAGTCCCTGAGTGCCACACGTACTTTCTTTTTTATATAGGTTGGAACAGCGATGGAATCCTGCTTTTATATGGCAGTGCTGTAAAATAAAAATTCTATCGAGATAATATTGCTATTCTATCCCTTCTTATTATGCCAGCTAGTCAATTTAAATTATACCAGATGCTCGTTCGATTCGCTACACTCCAAGTATTGGGTAATCGAAGAACGTTCGTACTCATTAAAAAGGATAAAAATTCGGCTTTACTTACGCTGTACCCTTCACACATGCAGTTCTTATACATATAATAATAACTATATATATAAAACGTTTTGCTTGTACTTTCTATAAAAAAGCCAATAATTTACGGTTGCCGAAACTAGAAAACATTGAAATAATAAGCACAAAAACTAACACATGCACACCGTGCAACTCTTAAGGCCCTTGCGAAAGAAAGCGATAAACGATCACACGTACACAAAAGTTTCGGTTAAAATTGTCAATTGAGCCTTAAGAAACTTATGTAAACTTTAACAGAAATCTCTGGTAGCGCTGTTGGGTAAATAACCGGTGACTTAACCGATTGGTGGCTTGCAGGGAACCTTCTAGTCGAATTAAAATTACTTAACAAGGAAAAAAGAGATTTTATGAAAATCTTTATAATGATTTTGATCAGTCAGTTTGCGTTAATTGATTAAAATTGTAGCGTCGCCTTTAAAAATAATCTATACCCAATTTCGTGAGGATATTATTGTCAAATAAACAGATTTTTCATATATACTTTCAATAGGTCAGCTCGTATGCCGCTATATCCGACAATAGTCCGATCGGAGATTCAAAAAAATGAGGAACATCTTGGGGAAAAAGGAAGGTGTGATATTTCAGATCAATATCTCAAAAACTGTGAGACTAATTCGCGTATATACAGACAGACAGACGGACAAATCGAACCACCCTGTCACGATAGTCATAAAGGTATACTTATACTTTATGGGGTGTGCAACGTTTCGTTCTGTACAAAAGTGAATTATAAAATCGTTTCGCTGTCCGAATATCGCCCACTGACAGATGCATAGAAACACAAATTAAAGTGATTCGTTTGAAACAGCATCCCCCTTTAGCTGCCATCTGTTCTTATGCAACACGAGCCACACACAACAGCTAACTATTACATGCAAGCTGTTGCGCTGTCTGCGGCAACTTATGCGAAAGTGCCACGATCACTTGTTGTAGAACAACACAATTGCAGACAATTGCTTGAGTGAGGTCGCGTGACATCATTATAGTAATTTTAGGAAGATATAAATATTTATTGTGACCGATATTGACATACATACAGATATAAATTGATGCTTAAAACCAGTGAGAATTATTTTCGGAGGATCAGTGCAGATCGCGTTCGCAAAACGTAATAGCAGCAATAAAAATTATTTGATTCTTGGAATTCTCGCAAAAATGTCTCGCCTCACATTCTTTCTGAACACTTATGTCACTTTTTTGGTTTTTACTCATAGCCTACAATTGTGTCTCGGCTGCTTAATGGCTGGCAGTTTTGGCGCTCCCGTCTGCGTTTGCGCTAATTTGCATACAAGTGTCAGCACATGACGGCGTAAATTTGTTGCAAGTGACGTTTTTTGTTTTTGCTGCTTTTCAGTTTAAAATTTTTGATTGTGCTGAGATCATTTCGTTTATTGGCACGTCTCGATCGGCTGTCTGCAGTTTTGTTGATATTCAAAAGATCTTTAATTCTGAACTTAGTTTGTTCAGAAAACTTCAATTTGAAGATTTCTAGAAAGCTACTGCTAAATTTTCGGCAAAGAAAACAATGCACTTATATAGTGCTTCTAAAGCTGCTTTCTGAGGTTTTATGTTTTTCCATCTCTTCAACAAGTCGGCTAGTTGCCTTCCTTAAAAGACTGAAACGCATGAACTTCGAAATTAATAAATACTAAAAATTTTTGTGGGGTGGTCCGTTATGCCTACGGAGACCCGACTGTCATAGAAGCGGTTCCCTGGTTCTTAAGATATATTATAAAATTTCTCTCAAAAAATTTGGTTTGGTTCAATACCCTGAAAAACAGACGATATTGCCATACATTGTTATATATATGTATATAGACATAGCATTATATATGCACAGTACCATATAAATATGTACCAGTATATAGACATAGCATTTAAACTCGTTTCCGAACTCTCAAAATATTTTTTGTACTATAGATTTTGAAATACTATTTTTATACTCTTGCAATATGTTGCAACATAGTATAATGGTTTTGTTCATCTAACGGTTGCTTGTATCACCTAAAACTAATCGAGATAGATATAGGGGTATATACATAAATATAAATGATAAATGAATAACATGGGTCGTAGCACCGCCACCTTTAGTAGATTTTAGATTTCAACCATATTTGGTGTGTGAGGTTACCCTAACATTCCTAGTACACTGCTAAAATTGACGAAATCGTATGATAACCAAGCTTAATTCTTATATAACAAACTTTCAAATTCCGTCTGATTCGTTCAATTTTCAGTATACAAATCAAACATCAATAAAGTTATCAGAAGAAAACTTTGCACAAATAGTGCCCTCAAGATATTTCATCTGCCGCCCAAAATTGTCGAAATCACACTATAATTGTGCCAAAAATAGATGGAAGCTCCCTTTAGCCCCCATATACTTAACATACGTATTTGCGAAGCTCCGATTCACTTGATACCTCGTTTTACACCTCTAATCTCTAAGTAGCCTTTGAAGAGGGTCAAGCTTTCTTCACTGATTAATAGTAGTCCATGTTTACTACTTGTAGTATTTTTCCCTTCCTTGCCCTTGCGGACTATCATATCTCCATAAAAATTATATTTCTCGATTAAAGGTAAGAGGAGAATTGATAAAAGATTATTTCATGATTACCTGTCAACCGCTGAGTAAAGTAATACATGCTGGCAAAAGATGTTCTCGGTTAAATCCTAACAGCTCTTACAATATCTAATATATATATATTTTGTATATGAGCGGACTAGGAGAACTTCAACGAAACCAGACGATTTTTTTCGTTCTTTTTTTTACATATTTGCGGCAACTACGATGAACAAAAGCTGGAGTTATTTCAATAAAAGAGTTTAAAATGGGAAAATAGTAACTAGTGATATATTATACAGGTACGTATTTTGATAGCTATACACACAGGGTCACAGTTTCAATGTTAGGAATAGAATCACCGTATATACTATATGTACCCTTGTGATAAGTGTTTCAGTAGTTTTATGTTAGGTGTTTTTAACCCTTGGGAATAAATGTAACATAAATAACTATTGCGCCCAAATGTAGGCAATACATGTGGTTGAGGAATATAAATGTTAAAAAGTTCTTCAGGTGCTTGATACTTTTGTGTATTCCAATACCATAAGATTATTTCTTACGTAAAAAAAATTTCATATATATTTGTTTTGATTTTATTAAATTCATATTTTTAGCAAAATATTCGAAAACCAGTTTATTTATTGCACTAAATATTTTATTAAGTTCATGTCAATTCCCAGTATTATTATACCAACATTCCATCTCATAATACTGTATAT